CAATGCTCGGCGCCATTTATTGTTATATCCTTTCCAGCATACAAACAATTTCGAATATCGTTTTACAACGATAATTCGAACGAGAGATGTCGCCATTGCTTTTTTAGAAATTTAAATTGTTTATAGTGCTATTCTTTGTACTTAAGATTGTACATTAAAATATGTAGAAAAAGTGCGAAAAGATTGTCGCCGCTGTGGGAATCGAATCGGGTGTGGTCATCAGCCGTTTAGCTCAGTGGCTAGAGCGTCAGGCCGCGAATGCCGAAGACGTGGGTTCGATTCCCACAGCGGCGACAATCTTTTCGCACTTTTTCTACATATTTTAATGTACAATCTTAAGTACAAAGAATAGCACTATAAACAATTTAAATTTCTAAAAAAGCAATGGCGACATCTCTCGTTCGAATTATCGTTGTAAAACGATATTCGAAATTGTTTGTATGCTGGAAAGGATATAACAATAAATGGCGCCGAGCATTGCTTCAAATGCTAAAGAAAAACAATGTAGAGGAATGCGTTAAGATTTTCGTCGGTGTGGTCATCAGCCGTTTAGCTCAGTGGCTAGAGCGTCAGGCCGCGAATGCCGAAGACGTGGGTTCGATTCCCACAGCGGCGACAATCTTTTCGCACTTTTTCTACATATTTTAATGTACAATCTTAAGTACAAAGAATAGCACTATAAACAATTTAAATTTCTAAAAAAGCAATGGCGACATCTCTCGTTCGAATTATCGTTGTAAAACGATATTCGAAATTGTTTGTATGCTGGGAAGGATATAACAATAAATGGCGCCGAGCATTGCTTCAAATGCTAAGAAAACAATGTAGAGGAATGCGTTAAGATTTTCGTCGGTGTGGTCATCAGCCGTTTAGCTCAGTGGCTAGAGCGTCAGGCCGCGAATGCCGAAGACGTGGGTTCGATTCCCACAGCGGCGACAATCTTTTCGCACTTTTTCTACATATTTTAATGTACAATCTTAAGTACAAAGAATAGCACTATAAACAATTTAAATTTCTAAAAAAGCAATGGCGACATCTCTCGTTCGAATTATCGTTGTAAAACGATATTCGAAATTGTTTGTATGCTGGAAAGGATATAACAATAAATGGCGCCGAGCATTGCTTCAAATGCTAAGAAAACAATGTAGAGGAATGCGTTAAGATTTTCGTCGGTGTGGTCATCAGCCGTTTAGCTCAGTGGCTAGAGCGTCAGGCCGCGAATGCCGAAGACGTGGGTTCGATTCCCACAGCGGCGACAATCTTTTCGCACTTTTTCTACATATTTTAATGTACAATCTTAAGTACAAAGAATAGCACTATAAACAATTTAAATTTCTAAAAAAGCAATGGCGACATCTCTCGTTCGAATTATCGTTGTAAAACGATATTCGAAATTGTTTGTATGCTGGAAAGGATATAACAATAAATGGCGCCGAGCATTGCTTCAAATGCTAAGAAAACAATGTAGAGGAATGCGTTAAGATTTTCGTCGGTGTGGTCATCAGCCGTTTAGCTCAGTGGCTAGAGCGTCAGGCCGCGAATGCCGAAGACGTGGGTTCGATTCCCACAGCGGCGACAATCTTTTCGCACTTTTTCTACATATTTTAACGAATTATATGATTAACTAGCGACCCGCCCGGCTTCGCATGGTTGCAATGTATTATATATATGAACCTTCCTTTTGAATCACTCTATCTAGTATAAAAAACTGCATCAAGGTCGTAGCGTGTGATTTTAGTTTTGAAAATGATACATAATTATATACTAGTGTGGGGAATGAGAGTTCAGACTAATGTATTGCCACACTCTTTTCGTTATTTACTTTGACTCTCCATTTGTGGCACCAATCACCGAGGCGGTTGATGACTTTGGAGGCGTAATCCGCGAAAAGCACGAGATTGACATATGAGTGAGTCTTTGGGAATGTCGCTCGTATAGAGCGAGAAAAGTATAGAAGCGCGGCAGGGAGCAGGTGCGACTTGATTGTTTGGATCATATGCACGAGTCAATGACCAGCACTGCACCACCACGCTCAGTACGGCACACTCTCCTCAGTCTAAAATATACAGCTTCACAAACTGAGAATTAGAGGGTCTGTTATAATTAGGGCTACTTGTCAAAGTTCTAAATGTTTACATTGTACGGGACTCTAATTTCTTTATTTATTTATATATTTATTGTACACAAAACACAAGATACAAAAAATCTTTTTGTATCTTGTGTTTTATCTTTCTCATTACCTTTTTGTCATAAAAACCTTTCATTTCATGTATAAAGTTGAACAACCATATAATTTTACAATCCCAGTAATTGTTGCTGGAATATTAAAATGCAAGTGTAAATACTACCAAATTGATTTTTTGTAGTATAGATAGATGTATGCAGGGTACTTTGACAGTTATATTGAAACAGATCCACAATCAGAAGACCCACCCACGACTCGTACGAACAACGTATCACCAGATACGCCGACGACACGATAACTCCTCGACCTCTTTTTTTTCTGTGGTATAAATCCTTTATGGAGCCCCTGTCACAGGATAGGGGGTGTAGCAGGGGTATGTGGGGTCACAGTACGAAACGGGTACCCACTAAAAAACCCACGTTTCACCTGACTCTGCCACATCGGCGGAAGAATGCGTCCATATGATCCCGGCACGGGAACACGTAAACGCAATATTCCGTGACGCAAAATTCCGTGACGCAATATTCCGCGAAGCTGCGCGCGTAGGCCAGCTTCCTGCACCCTCGTCTGCAGCGGCGGCTATCCAGGGTGGTAGTTCATGTATTTTTTTTAAACACTGCCCTTTAGGATAATATTATCCTGCGTTGTAAGAACGTTTTACAAACATAAATATCACGTGGACAAACACCCAGATGCGGAAAAAATATCTGTGAGTCACACAAATAGTTGTCCCATGTGGGGATCGAACCCACGAGCCCTGACGCCGAAGCCAATACCTTGACAACTGCGCCACAGAATCATCACTGTGCCATGGAATCATCAAGTTGCCTCCCTTTCTCTCTCCACTGCCTCCTTCCGGGTGATAACGTCCTCGTAGTTAGCAGCACCCTACAGTAGGAAAGCAGTCCTCGGCGCTGCTCCGTCCGTTCGGTGAGGGTGCCGTGTCACCTGTCCAGCCACCAACTCCGCGACCTCTGTTAACGAAAGATGGACAATTCGACTAACAAGGGGCACTACACGATCCAAGAGCCCCTGAGTTATAACAGCTGTCGATAGTAGAACCTAAACCTAACATAGTATAAGTAAATAATCTTTAAAATAATTATTAACAATAACTTTAACATAACAATTATTATTTAGACATTGGTATTTTATTGGTATTTGGTATTTTACTTTATTTGAGTGGTTTGTCTGTTTTAAGTTAATATTTTGTTATCACTTCACTTCACTACATAGTATAAAACAAAGTCGTCCCGCTCTCAGTCTGTCCATATAAATATGCTTAGATCTTTAAAACTTCGCAACGGATCTTGATGCGGTTTTTCTTACTAACTAGAGTGGTTCAAGAGGAAGGTTTATCTATGTATAATACATGACACCCGTCCGAAGCCGCGGCGGGTCGCTAGTCAAAGCGACATAAATGTAAACTGGCACTGGCATTGACAAATGACAATGGCAACACTCGGTTAAACCACGACCAAACCAACGTTAGCGTGAGCCGCAGTGTGACCATTTGTGGCAGATTTCTGCCATTTCGGCAGATTTTTCACTTGTATTTTAAATGTGGCAGATTAGGCTGACGATTCAAAAAAGTGGCAGAATTTGGCAGATTTCAAGGAAATCTTCATTAATTTTGAAATTCTTATTTAGAATACTTCTAGCAAATTATTTTCTGATGTGGCAATTTTCATCCCACATAGTACGGGGATTTCCGATTATTGTATTTTAATGTAGGTACGTCATATGATTATGAACGATAACAAATCAGTAATAAGGTTTGTTTTAATTTATTTTATTTTATTTTGTTATTAATATAATTGATCTAGGTTCACGTAATACCGAGTTAAAGACCTAGAGGTCTTAATTCTAAAGGTGGGCGGATAAAATTTCTGAAAACCTAGAAATAGATAGAAGCCCATTAGCGCTGCGCGAGTGTAACCGATGGAAACAGCTTGTTGATGAATTGAATTTAGTAGTATTATATATATAATAGTAATATATATATATATATATATATATATATATATATATAATGCTATTATATATATATATAGTCACGATCCTCAGCAATGAGGGAACGACCAAAAAAAAGATGTCAAATACTGTTGATTGGTAATCTCAGATTATACGTACTCTTTTGATGTCAACTCTGACCTGTTTGACTAATGTATTATGTTTGAATTACTTTAAATTTAGAATGTTAGTTTTATTTGTTCAGACTGAATTGTGTCATAATTGATTGATTCCGTAAAAATTGCTTGGAGAAGTAACATGTGTAGCTCTCAGACATTAATCTTGTATTTTTATATAAATTTCACAATGATTACGTTTCTTCAAAAATAAGTTCAAAATGTTTAAGTTGAAATAAATAGTTTTCTCATCAGTCCTTAAGTGTCTTTTTGGTTTGAAAGTGATCCCATTAGCCACATCTACCATTCAAGAAATGCCTCATGCGAAAGAATGTCTATTTCATTAATTATAGTGTACTGTCTCCGACGATACTAACATGATGGCATATTTTGGAAATGAGTTTGGCAGATTTTGGCAGAATTTTTTTCTAGTGTCGGGCAGATTCGCCATTTTTCAGATGGTCACCCGGGTGGGTGAGCCGTGAGGGCGACATCGAAGTTCGACCATTTTGTAATTCTAGGTTATTTGTGACATATAAATGTATATATAGTTATACGTGGTTATTGATTTATTGTTCATGAAATATTAAGCTATTTCTCATACCTTAGCCTAGGGTTAATTTTTACCTAAGTAATTCCATCAGTTTGTCATAATGGAAGAGGAAAAAAAATTAATGTTTCACGAAATGGAGCTAGATGATAGAATCCTCAAGGTACCTTGTTTTATTAGTTGAATTGTATGAACCAGCACCAGTCTCCCATAATATTATACTGATGTTTTAAAATAGTTCAGGCGATGTCCAATTATGTATGAATATAAAATTTGTTCCAGTAGATAAATAGTATGATATTTATTGTTTTTTAGGCAATTTCACAATTGGCTTGGTCACACCCGACATTAATTCAAGAAACAGCAATTCCTTTACTTTTAGAAGGAAAAGATGTCCTTATTCGTGCTCGAACAGGCTCCGGAAAGACGGCAGCTTTCGCAATACCTGCCATTCAAAAGATATTAAATTTAAAAAATACAAGCACTTCTCAAAATACGCGTGTGATGATTTTGTCTCCTAGTAAGGAATTATGTGGACAAGTATGCTTTTGATTCCATTTTGAATTGCTTTATATAGATTATGCTGCCTAAGTACCAAAAAAATTTATCTCAATTTTACGTTAGTTTAAAATTTTTGAATTACATAACATATCTTACAGATAGCATCAGTAATTGGAGATTTGACACTGAAATGTGCAAGAGAAGTTCGCTGTATAGATATTTCCTCAAGTTCAGATATCCAAATACAGAAAACGCTTCTGTCGGAAAAACCAGACATAGTTGTGGCTACACCATCTAAAGCATTGGCACATTTAAAAGCAAACAGTATGAGTGTGAAAAAGGATTTAGCTATGCTTGTGGTGGATGAAGCAGATTTGGTTTTCTCATTTGGTTATGAAGAGGAAATCAAAGAGTTGTTAAGGTTTGTATTATTCCAAGTTTTATCATCATGATTTAAAATTGTCATGGTTATAATAACAGTTTTGAATATTTACAAATACATAAAGATTAGTCAATTAGTAGTGGTCACAGGACCAATAATACGGTATTATAATCTCAAAATTTCAATGAACTGCAATGTATGGCTTTGTAAAATAATATTGGAGTATAATACCTTTTAAAATCAGGTTTTTGTTCAAAAAAGTGACATATGCAAGATTGGTTTTTCATCTTTAAATGACTAATCCTTACTTATATTATAAAGGCGAATGTTGGTATGTATGGATGGATGTTTGTTACCCTTTCACACAAAAAGTACTGAATAGATTTTAATGAAACTACAATAATACAGCTTGACATCTGAATAACACATAGGCGATGATATATAAAGATATTGTGTGAATTGACCCAAATATAGGTAATGATAAGTGTAAACTAAGTAGGAAAAGATTCATCTATCTGTGAGATATTCTGGTGTATAATAAAAAATCTTTGATAATTCCATTTGGCCGTGCGGGTGAAACTGCGGATAATGGCTAGTAATTTATATATTTTTCATGGCAGTGATAATGATAATATATGCTTCAAATGAAAAACAATAAGAGATACTTTCTACAACAAAATTGTTTTATTTATATACATGTTTATCTCTTCTCTTATAACCTATGATATTCTACAGTTTCCTGCCAAAAATCTTCCAAGCAGTCCTTGCTTCAGCCACACTATCAGAAGATGTGCTTAGCTTAAAGAAGATAGTTCTCAGGAATCCGGTAACACTAAAACTGGAAGAGCCTGAGCTGGCACCCACATCACAGCTTCAACACTATCATTTATTTGCTGAAGAAGATGACAAGGCAGCCATATTGTATGCACTACTCAAACTAAACTTGATTAGGGGGAAGAGTATCATCTTTGTCAGAACTGTTGATAGATGTTACAAGTAAGAATTTTTATATTGTTTTGCATAATAGTCAAACTTGCTTGCTAAAATTTAAACTTTAGAACTATTATTTTTATAAGTACTTATATTATTATGTAGAAATAATATTTGTTTTTCTTATATTTTGTAATGCTATAAAATTCGTGAGTGGATATTTTAATATAGATTATTTACTAATCATAAATATATAATTTTTCTTAAGTTACTAACCAATAGATAATAAAAGTTGTAAGATAAATTTTCGATGTCTACATAGCTACATCAATTCTTTTCAGTATTAAACTTTACAGTATTGAATATTGCTTTACAGGTTAAAGCTCTATTTGGAACAATTTAAAATTGGATCCTGTGTGCTTAACTCAGAGCTACCTGCAGCAGTGAGGTGTCTATCAGTGGATCAGTTTAACAGGGGTCGCTATCAAATAATAGTTGCATCAGATGAAAAAGCTCTGGAAATGCCTGATGGAGGTTTACTAGCAGCTGATGAATGGGGAAAGAAAAGAAAGGTCTGTGTAATTTATCGGTTCAACAGAAAACTTTCATTTAATGTGTGTAATAAAGCCAATATGATAAACAGTAATACATAATATGAGATACTAACGCCCGGTTTCTGAAACACTGATCATCGTACATGTCAACTAATAAGCTGTCAAATGGCTTTTCAAATTTCATTTTAGTTGCCAAAAGGATTGTTAAACTCTCTGAATTGACCAGAATTAACATCAGAATGATCAATTCAAATAGTTTAACCATCCTTTTGGCATCTCAAATGAAATTTGAAAAACCATTTGTAAGTTGGTTAGTTGACATCTACGATGATCAGTGTTTCAGAAACCGGGCTTAAGAGATAATAAAACCATTTGATGTCGGGTTATTTAACCCCACTTTAGTTGAATTCATATATATTGAAAACTAGCTGCTGCTCGCGACTACGTCTGCATAGAATAGGCTGAAGGCGTAACGTTCAAACAAAAAGACAGATACACGTAAAAATATGTATACTAATTATAGCCTATGTCTTATTCTGATGTATAAGCTATATTATTGTAAAGTTTCATTAAAATCACGGTGGTAGGGCCACGCAGCAGCCTCGGCTGTTGTACCACAACCTCACAGAAGACCAGCGTGAAGTGGATGTATGACAAATACTTTCGCGTTTCGTCTGGTGAGTGAGGTAGCCGGAGCTCAATTATCTTAAGGTTGTCAACGCATCTGTAACCCTCGGGTGTAGCAGATGTCCATGGGCGGCGGTATTTACTTACCTTCAGGTGAACCGTCTGCTCGTTTGGCAACTTTGCACATAAAAAAGTAAAAAAATCCATTCAGTAGTATTTGCGTAAAAGATTAACAAACATCATATAACATACATACAAACTTTCATGTTTATAATATTAATAAGGATGTACTATTTTTATAGATTTCTTTGACATTCAGATTCCTTCACACTGTTTTCTTTCTAAGTTATGAATGACTCAAACCAGAACTTAAACTTGAATTTAAATTGGATTGGAACATCGGTTTCGTCAACTATAATGAATTATTAAGACCTGGATACTAAATAACCACAGTTTAATATTAAGATTATTTTTTATTTTAATCATAAATACAGACCTATTACCATACTTTTGTTATAACATTCACTTTATGACATATAATATTATTCTACTATGAATAGAAAATCAAAAGAAATAATTGTAAAATTTTTATCAAGTCTAATTATCAATATACCCAAATGTTCTGACGGCATCCTCTTCTATTTACATCATGTAATTTTTGATTTATGTAAAAAATACTTTCTAGTCTTAACTAAATTGTAAATTTCATCATGCAGCAAAAGTCGAAACGGAAGAAAGACAAGGAGTCGGGAGTGTCGCGTGGTATCGACTTCCAGCATGTGTCCAATGTTATTAACTTCGATTTCCCTCTGGACGTGAACTCGTACGTCCACCGGGCAGGCCGCACCGCCAGGGGCAACAACCAGGTCAGTTAACTAAACTAAAGTAAAAACCTAGACATGTCATGCAGTTTCCACTTTCTTTTTAAGGCCTGGTCCGCTAAAGGTTGTGAATCAATAACATAGAAGACGTTATCTTTTGCTTGGCAAAACTCCCCCAACTTTTCTGGCTTTATAAGTGTCTTTGGGCTGCAATTCTCACTTACCATATTCGGTACCGCATTTGAATTATAAACATTGTTTCAGGGATCTGTGCTGTCATTTGTATCACTGCGGGAAAAACCGCTCATGGATGCAGTGGAAGAGCATTTAAGTAAAGGTTTTAATGGAGAAAAAGTCTTACAGTGAGTCTAGCATCAATATTAAATTGATCACCATTTAAAACATTATCAGGTGTTTTATGATGGACAGGACAAAAAGAGATAATATAGTTAACAAAACTAGGTTCTCAAAACAGATTGTGGCAACAAGAAACGCATTTAAGTTTTGACGATTTTTTTGGTTCTGATAGATTACAGAAAATCATTTCTGTCACAGCTGTTTTCTTAGTTCTGAGTACATACTCTTTTAACATGTTTTTTCAACAAAAATTTGTAATTCATTGTTACAATCACAGACTTGATATGGTTAAAACTATGAGTTTTGAATGTGTCTATAAAACAATAATTTGGCAATAAACCAAACTGGCTCTGGCCTGTTCTCAGGGAGCGAACAACAAGTTTAATAAAAATAATTTTTGGGAACAGTGGAAGTGTGCTGACTGGCCTTTTGGCCTTGCAGGCGGTACGAGTTTGCACTGGAGGAGGTTGAGGGATTCCGCTACCGGTCTAGGGACGCCTGGCGCGCTGTCACTCGCATAGCTGTTAGAGAGGCGCGCCTCAAGGAGATCAAGCAGGAACTGCTGAACTGCAAGAAGCTACAGGTGATTGTCTATGTCAACACGCCCCACTCTATGCTATGCTCTCCTGGTACCTCAACTAACAACACTCATCAGAAATTGCTCTCTTTATTGAAAATATACAGCATATTAAATATTATATTTAGTAGCAAAACATACTTCATCGCTTCATGGGCTCAGAAATTGCATTGTGTTGCTCGAATATGGGGCATGTTGAAAATATTCAAAAATATAAATACCATGTATTTGATATTAGGAAAAGAAATTAAAATTTAAATGAAGCTATTCTGAAATTATTGGTCACTAAGCTGCTGGACATAGCAATGTAAAATTGAACCATATGAATGCTAAAATTCTGTTATGGTATGCTGTTAAGGCGCAACGTCTTGCTTATAATATTCATTGGTTGCAGCGCTTGTGTAGGTCTCTTTCTTTTCCTTGTCATCTCTTTCCAAGTACTCCATAACGATTAGCAATCAGAAGGGATGGTATAAGTGCATCAGCCAGTTAAAAAGTTAATATCTTGTGTACTGCGTTGTGCAGAGTTCAAATTGATAATATATGATGAAACCAATACGTACATAATACATTGATGAACGACTAATCTTCTCTCTGATCGAACGGTCTTCGACTTCCCCCGTGACTCAGTTCAGGAAACCATAGTAACGTTGGCTGCTTTGCAGGGCTACTTCGAGGAGAACCCTTCCGACCTGGCGGCGTTACGGCGCGACAAGGCGCTCCACACGGTCCGCCTGCAGCCGCAGCTAGCGCACGTGCCGGAGTACCTGTTGCCGGCGGCGCTTCGCCCCGACGCACCGGAGCCCGACGCCGAGCAGCCCACAGAGCCCGCCAAAGCGCCCGCCAAAAGGAAACCGAAAAAGCCGGCCTTTGGCAGCGTCAAACGTCGCAAGTATCAGGTGGGTCTCGTTACCTTCTAACTTATTACAATCCAGTTCATATTTTGAAAAAAGTTCAATTTTATTCATGTTATTTTTACAATTAACACTTGCTGACCCGGCAAACGTTGTTTTGCTATATAAATTATTTGTATGGTACAAAAAAATGTTTGGAGTCACTTAACATTTAGGGGGATGAAAAATAGATAGGTTGTCCGATTCTCCATCCTGGCCGATAGGCACTCGAAATTTCACAAAAATGGGTAGAGCCGTTTCGGAGGAGTTCAATTACTAAAACCGTGACACGAGAATTTTATATATTAGATTAATAATGACAGCTAGTCACTTGGTATGATGATTTAATAGTATATTTTGTGATTCGTCCAGGATATAAACTTATATTAATAAAAACATCCCTTGCAGGCACGCCAAAGCAATCCACTGCAAAGCTTCACGCTGAAGAACCTGAAGAAGACGACACCTGCCGGCGATACTTAGACTTGTTAGTATTCGAGACGGACAGAGAACTATCTCTAAATATGAACACCACAGGCAATAAATGAAAATCGCCAAAAAGAGCCAACATTGAATCCATGCTGTTTTTTTATGATACAATGTTTTTTTTTTATAATGACATGTAATTTTATCATAATAAATGTGTCTCACGCGTGGTTTTTTCTTTCACACAGCGCGCGTCGGTGCGATTCGCGGGCTAGCGAGCGATCTTAATGGTTAGTTGTCGAGGATCCGGTTAGTACTGAGTGGGCTCGGGGCCCTGTGAAAACAATAAATACCTTATTTTCATGCTATTGCTATATCTATGTTTTTTGTTCGTTTCATTATATTTTTCTCTCCCTTTGTCTCATCTCTGAACAGTAGCGTTCATTCAAACGGCTTAAAATGAAAATAATAAATTGGTATAATTCTTTATGGGAATTTTGGGGTATATTTTCATGGCTCCTGTATAGCATTTAACTGTTACTCATTGAAGTACTATTAACTAAAAATTACATTACTGTTAAAGCTTTATACGTAATTGGTAATATTTTTTAAATGTTATATTGATACAAGTCAAGAGATTTAAAATATTAAATGTACTAAAACCAAACTACATAATTATTAAAAAAAAAAGTAATATAAAAAATATTGCCTTTTTCCCGTGTTTTGACATTCATCAGTGGCTCGCTACTTCCCATGGTATAGAAATTTACGAGCTCGGTGAAAAGGAATCCATAGTTTTATACTTGTATCTACACCATGGAGAAAAGACAATCCAACCAAACATTTACAATATGGAATTAATGAAAAATCTTGACTCATTTGGCTTTTGGAGTGTTTAAATATAAATCTTTCAGTACCTATCGACCTTTAAACGAGCAATTCGTGTATATATATAATCGGAATATTGGAAACTGCTCCAACTTTTTTCATGAAATTTAGTACCTATATGCGTAGGCACAAAATCGATCGGGCTAGGTTTCATTTTTGAAAATGTCGTTTTATCCTGTTATCATATTTCCCTTTTGACATAGTTACGGTATTGACGGTGGAAGAATTTAGGATAAATTATTTCAAATCATGATGTAGGTATATACAATATTTATTTTAATGCCACTGTATAGATCATAAGTATGTATATGCAAAATACAAACAAAATTATTGTAGTTTCTGATGTATGAATGGCGTTCTTAAAGTATACTTCTTTATTATGAATTGTCTAGAGAAATAACAATTTATATAAATGCACGATGCCGTTAATATTCAAATGAAACGACAAACTGGACAAATAATTATTACTTGCCTGTGTTATTAGATGATATAGTTCTTGTGAAAGACTTGTAAATGTTGGTCTTCATGTATCCTAATTGAAAATGTATCTTGAAACGTGCAAATTAAAGAAATTACACGACTTTAAGAAATTCTTCAAGTTTCCTTTTAAATCCATATTAAAGCGAAACTGTTTTATTATACATTATTGCATGTTTGTAATTTCATGTTTAGTTACTGAATTGTCTGCTTTATTTGTCAAGTAGTTTATTGTTCGTGTCGTCTAAAAATTGTGGGGTAATGACTATAAATGTATTGCATGCATTAAGGCGGGTCGTGTGACTTAGCGATCTCATATTCTAGTCTATTTACCTTATTAACTGCAATATCAACGCTCTCAATTTAAAATAAAAAATAATCTCTTAGGACATTGCTCCTATAATTTATCTGACAAAGTTTGATTTGAATATTTTAAATTTTCTCAAGTCATCTTGACGCAAAGATTAGTGACATTAGTGCGATGAGTAAACAAGTTTCGAGTTTATTCGATATTCGATGCGTTGCGAGACGAAGGACCGCGCAGAACGCAAGTCCAACTACCAAAAATTACACGTACGACGTATCCCGGTAAGGAATAGTCACAGACTAGCTACATCCAGCCGCAGTGCAATGGCCGGAGCCAGCCCGGGGCAACCGCCTTCATGATCACGGTACACCCTACGCAAGGTTAGTATGCGGCTGCTTCCGTCGCACCGCTTTATATACCCGCGTGCGTGAATCCCAACAGCATGCTCTAATTTGGTTAGTAGCGACATCTATTGTTTGATTGACAAGCATAATGACGGTTGCTAGGCAAAAAAAATGTCACGTTTAAAAGGGGTGATTTTTATGTTTTAAATATCATTACATTTGACAATAAAAAGTCAAAATAACTATAGCCACTGCAATATAACCCTTATTGACAGCTGAATAGACTACACCGATTTGTCACCTGATCGGTGATTAATTGTGTCAGGCGCCTACGTCATGGCTGATTAAAAGTATATTTTCTAGCAAATAACGGCAGCTTAAGCGAAATAAAAAATACGTATATAAAGCTGAAACTATAAGGAATCAAAATATGTGTAAATTAAAGTACAACTATTAATCCAAAACAAAGAATTAAATATGAAAGTTGAGAATATTGGTTAAATTTCACGTAAATATTTTTTTTTTAAACAAGTTTTTACAAATAAAATTGTATCAAATCTCATTTGATATTTATTCTTTACTAAACTAGACAATATAAGCTTTAATTTGATACCAAAAGTGTAAACATTCATTGTGTAAACTTTATACAATAAACATAAATATAGACCCTATTCCACTTGAAATCCGACACTCGATTGTTTTTCAATGCGACGGCAAGATGGCCACCCATAAGGCCATAAACACAGGGTTATTCATCTATTTTTTTATTATTTGGTTAGAAATATTTTGTTTCATAAATAGGTACATGACATTCTTATATTTCTAAATAACATATATATTAACTTGTATAACACATATTTATTTATAAAATATATTTTTTATTAAATTTCGGTATATAATATACATATTTAGTTATTATGACACATTTTTTTTAATATTTGAAATGAGCATTTATTGTAGATATGTATTTATGATATTGTAATAAAATACAAAAAAGCACAGTAACAGTATGTGAGCTATATCTCAGCTAATATTATTTATTTTACGGCTGGTGATATGCCTTAAAACAGCCCTCAACGCAAAGATTAATGTCGCGCTCCTGGCATTCCCAAATTTTTCATTATTGTTCCAGTATTTTTTGAAAGCATCAAACAGGAAGGGGTTACTTTCAACATCGGTGTGGCCTGCTTCTTCCTTGAAATCCAAAAGCCTTAACGACTTACATATTTCTTTGAATAAACTGAAATATTAAGCGTAGTTACGATTAGTACGTAAAATGAAAAAGATAATTAAGCTTGTTCATCTTACACTCTCACATGTCCATGTCTTCGCAATATCATTCTCACGTCTTGATAACTTGCAGTAAATATTAGTATTATTACGATTAGGAGGATGACGTCTTAAAAATCAAAGATCCGTCTTGACAGCTTGGAATGACGTATGTGATTTTATTTTTAAACATTAGTGCATGGTGAAAGAAGGTTCGTATTTGGCATAGACTTCAGACCTAGAAAAAGATAAAACAAAAATACCCTATAATAAAATAAATAAAAGGAATGTACCACACCAAATAAAAAAACGCGATAATACGAAAATACCCTCATGTTCACAGTTTGTATGTAACCTTATTTTGATACTTTTTCGTGACGTTCGTGTGACGTCATCAGCCCATACAATAAACCTGCGGAAGACAATTTTAAAAACGTAAAATAATAAGTGTTTGCGTAACAATCCTTTCGTTTTTAGTGTTTTTAAATGTTAATAATGAACTGTTTACAATTACTAGGAATATTTTACTACAATATATAATATATAAGACAATTTTAATTATGAAAACCGGCACAATGAGGGTAGATTTTTAAGTGTTCATTTTATCACCCGAAATAATATTCTTTTAGACTTTTGATTCATATAATTTGATGAAATCATGAAAGAAATATTCATGAGGATTATTTCAATGTATAATACTAATACACTGCGTTTATAAATAAATCAATACTTACATTGTAAATGCGGACCCCACAACCACTTGAAATAACTTCGAACAGTTTTTGTAAACAATTTTTTTTTGAGGGTAGCTGTCGCCGTTTATTGTGTTCTACCCACCAAAAGACGCGTTATTTAATCAGGAACCATCTTGTGTAGCATTATTGAACTACTACGACAAATATATAGAGAAAATTACGTTTAAAGTTAACAAAGTGGTTGGGCTGCCATAGTCGCCCTAACGTTTGACGCTTAAAAAATTTGGGCTGCCGTAGTCGCCCTACCGTTGCAGCGGATAGAGTATTTTCATATATTAATGCATAGCAAAATGTGTTGCCCAAACTTAAAAAAATTAAAGGGGGTATGTACTATATAGTAAATAATTATATATTAATGTTTATTTTATGAAGATCTATATAACTTCCTATGCGGACCTAAAATTATTTCTTAACTATTTAAATAAAGATATCATGTAAGATAGTAATGCATAAACAATTTCATTTAAAGTCTAAAGAAAAAGTAAAGAAAATGTAGCCATTGAAATAAAATAAACAAAAAAAGATGAAGTTTATCTAAACGCAGTTTTAAAAAAAAATCTGAAATTAATTAAACACAAAATCTGCAATACATTTTTATTAATTTCAAATCACACAATTCTAAACGGATTTTGAAATTCTTCTTTTTTTCGGTAGATCCTTAGTAGTGATTTTAGTGTCGCTAAAAGCCCTTCTCAGTGTTAAGGTTCGTTCTTGGAGAGAAAGATCGTTGTAGGACGGTATCGTCGAAAACGGCCGGTTCAGATAATATCCATACGGACCCATCTCTCTACGTTGCCATGGGTTGGTTGTGATCCTTAAAATAGAAAGAATTTTTCCTGAATTCAATTCCCTTAAAAATAGCAGGAAAAGAAAGTTATCAGAACTTTTCATTTTCCGACAAAACCCTAAAATCGTAAATTTTATAAAAAATAATATGTATCTAATGTAACACATATAATTTTCGTATTATTTAGTATTTTTAAAAATACTTTGTAAGAGAAATATGATAGTTTTTAATCTTTATTAGATAATGCTTAATAATGAGGATGTTTATAGTCTGTGGTAATTTCCAAAGCGTGTGTGTGAGTGAGTATGTGTATGCCACCTTTGTGATTTTAACTACATAATCATTTGCCAACATATCAACTAATATAGACAAGTTGAATTTCTTACACTATTGTACCGTTTAGCATATTGAATTATTATGGATATTTCAAGACTACTATTGTTAGGTATCTTACGCATAAAGAAAAAACCATAAATGTTGTTATTGTCTACTTGTTTAAAATCTAAGTGAAATCTCCGCTCCCCTATTACCTATATTGGATGGATAATATGATTTTAGTAGCAAACATAGAATCCTTACTTCCTTACTAATATTATAAAGGCGAAAGTTTGTATGGATGGATGTTTGTTACTCTTTCACGCAAATTCTGTTGAATGGATTTTAATGAAACTTAACAATAATATAGGTTATACATCTAACTATAATTTATATACATATGTTATGTATATCTGTCTTTTTGTGTGAAAGTTACGCTTGTACTATTATATTACCAAATACATACAGCATTCTATATTTTAATGAAAGATTCAAATGATTTTATACTAGGCCTATATCGAATTGAATTATCATTAAAAAGCGATGAATAGTGATTGCGTCAAAACCAGGGTAATTCACCAGATCATGAGAGGAGGGTCAGCAGACTGCTGTCTGGTGTACATGTAGGTGGCAATAGGGATCGCACCGCATAGCCAGATCACCCACTGCTCCATGAAGTGCAGGCTAGCCAAGTTGTCTTCGTCCACTAATATCTCGCCCTGTTAAAAGAAAACGTACGTTAGTGATTTATTTTATAAACATTCTATATAATAATAGAATTGCGTGATTGCATTTATTGGCTACGTAGAATTTCTGGACACGCAAATAATAAATCTTTACCTATGAATTTGCCATTCTTCAGTACGGGCCATTTCAAACAAAAAAAGTTTTGATCGGCTGCGAATTCTAAATTCAAATTAATTTTGTTTTAAGAACATGAAATTCTTTTTACAAAGTCAGTCTTTTGTTTATTGATTAGCTTGCTTTGTATTTTCATTACATTTGAAAATTTGTCGTCATAATGGACAGTTTAAAAAAATCGTGTAATTAGGGAACATGAGTTTCGTTGTGGTACCAACGCGGCACAAACGGCACATAACACCAACAAGGTTTACGTAGAGAACTGGATATATAGAGAGATGATATTCTATCTACAGCCGAGCTAGCAGCAGATTTGGATGTTAGAATCAGAACAATATTGGGTATTAATTGCCATTTGCGAAAAATTGGAAGGTAAAAAAGCCTGATAGATGGGTGTGCCCCACGAAGTTAACGATCGCCAGTTAACAGGCACAGAAATGAAAGAATTTTGAACCGAATTGGTACGAGCGATGAAAAGGGAATTCTGTTAGAAAATAAAACGCTCTCAGCAAGTTGGTTAGATCCGGGTTCAGCACCGAAGCAATACCCTAAACGAAAAACGACCCCTAGAAAGTATGTTGGTCACTGTTTGGCTGTGTAACGCCGCCGGTGTGATTCATCACGGGTAAGTTAAGGTTACATGTCCCACTATACATGTCCCACTGGTGGGCAAAGGCCTCCTATACAGAGGCTATCGGGGCAAAGTCCACCACTGCGGTTTGGCGGACTTTAAATATCTTCGAGATATTTTTTTTGTTATTACTTCGAAAATATGCAGGTTTCCTCACGATTTTTTCATCAACCGCGGAGCACGTGGTAAGACAGTACTTAAAATTAATTCATGAATTTCATTGGTGCCGGCATCGGGGATCGAACTCGATTGCTAGAATATATTAAATTAAAGGCGAGCGCCCGGACACTGAGCTATCACGACTCTATTTGCATTTTTTAGATTCAACACAACTTTTTACAAAACGGCATGAGCATTACTGCACATGTGTACTGTGAAAAACGGAAGAAAATGATTGAGAAGCTCGCACGTCCGCAACCAGTTTTGGTCAATCGGTCGTCCCGCTGACAATTAGCTCCTTCATGACAATTAGCGACCTCATAATGCACAACAGACAGTCTCCAAGCTGCAAGAGTTGGGGCTGGAAGCTGTCCCTCATCCGCCATACTCACTAGACCTTGCACCTACAGACTTTTTCCAGAATTTGGAGAACTTTTTAGCGGGAAAAAAAATCAATTTTCGAGAGGCAGTACAAATGCCTTTGAAGAGTTTGTTGCCTCCCGTCCAGCTGATTCTAAAAAGAAGGGCATTAATAAACTACCATTGCGTTGGCAAAGAAACATCGATTGCATGGGTGATTTAACACTTTGAATAACAGAAATAAAGAAGTAATAAAAATTTTACTTATTTCATACAAAACGGCAATTTTATAGTTATAGACCTAATATTATGTAGGTAAAATTTAAGGACTGCAACACACTCAATTATTAGATTATAATGCGACGACCCGGAAGGCGTAGTGGGTAGTGTACCTGCCTCCTGCGTCAGAGGGTGTGGGTTCGATCAACTACAGGAAAAATATTGTGTGATGAACGTAGTGTTTTTCTAGTGTCTGGCTATATGTATAATATGTACTTATTTACAAAAGACATCTATAAGTATATTTATCTAGTACCCGTAGTGTATCTTGTGTCTTGTATTAACTGATGTTTTTGCTTTCAGTCCCAAGACTATTAAAGCTTCATCTGACGCAGAACCGGTGGGCTAGCCAGAACCCACGGGTTTGGGCCCTCCGCTGTGGGTAGGGCCACGCATGTGCTCATGCGAGTACCCATAGTACAAGCGTTGCTTAGTTTGGGACTAGAGAACGTTGTGTAAAAATGTGTCCTAAAATATTTATATATTTATTTATTTTATATTATACTTTTGTATTAAATATTCACAGTCATGTCGTTGCCTACTGGTGACTAGTGATATGAATTAGAAATCTCGAAACGTCCGATTTCAAAATGCGGATGTCTATGAGACAGAAACGAAATTCCCTTTATTTTGCTAAGCGACGTCACTAAATGGCTTTGTATTATTTCACTGTTAAGACTAAACTTTAAAGTCGAGAATCAAACTCCAAAAGTTTTCCGAAACACCCCGTAATAATAATACGCCGAGGTTCAGGCTAGGCGCCCCGTGTGCCAGGCCACCTCAAGCCCGTCGGAACTGTGAAGACCCCTAAGGCCAACAGTGGCTGATTCAGCCAAAAAAAAAACGAAACCTGTTGTTGCTTTACCATGGCTAATACTGAAACACTGAATTTTATAAACATTTTCACCAATTGATGATTCCTGGCGACATTGCCAAGGTATTGGCTTCGGTTTCCGGGGTCGTGGGTTCGATTCCCACACGAGCAAACTATTTGTGTGATGAACTATTTGAGTCCTTATAGCACAGGATAATGTTATCCTAAAGTAAGAACAAAGTTTTTTTAAAAAAAAATATACAAATAGCTCAGTCACTTACATCTTCGTAATAATATTCGACAAACATCTTGAGGACCCTCACCGAGGCATGCCAGAAATGAAGACTATACAGCACCATCCAAACGAATAGCAAATGCTGCGAATTGTAATTAAAAATCAATCATATACAAAGAAAATCGAACACAATAGTTTCACAATTCTTATATGTAATCTCACATACGTGGGGCGGCTGATACACTCGCGACCTAAGGTATTTATCGATGAAGGATCATTGCGTTAAAGATACACCACTAATAGTTGGACTCGTTGCAACTCATTAGTAGTATAAATATCACTCTTTTTTTCAAATTTGTTTCACTGTTTTTTAATTACTGGAATGAACAACATCACCATCTCAAAGGAAACTGGCCGAAGACTTTCTGCTGTTTTCTGGTGACATTGAGATGAAGGCGGCCATATAAACCCACTTTAAGGATAATTCAAAAGAATATATTTTTCAATTGTATTAAGGCTCAGTAGCAATCTCAGTGCCAAAACTTACTTTTTTTTTAATGTGAAAAGTTGCCAAACGAGCAGTCGGTTCACCGGATGGTAAGTAAATACCGCCGCCCATGGACAACCTTTTGAAAATTGGGCTCCGGCTACCTCACTCACCGGACGAAACGCGAAAGTATTTGTCATACTTCCACTTTACGCCGGTCTTCTGTGAAGTCGTGGTACTTACCCGGACGGGCCTGCCCATTCGTGCAACAGCCGAGGCTGCTGCGTGGTCCTACCACCGTGAAACTGGGTACTTCACTCTGGGGGATATTGAAAAAGAATCCTTAACATTACTTTCCTTTGCTTTACCGGCCTAATCAAAGCTTAAACTTGGCCAGCAATGGTGTTACCTGCAAGATCTGCTCCCACAGCGGCACTCTTCTGAAGAGGAACCTGCGGAACATGTTGTGGAGGAGACGGTGGGCGAACGCCGACGCACCAACCGCCCAAAGCAGAGTGGGCACTGTAGACAGATAGTCGTCACCGCATTTAGCCCATTCTGTTATCTGAAATATTAATAATGGATCATTAATCACGTAACGAAGAACATACCACATCCTAGGCGATCACTGTTAACATATTTTTTTTTATTTCGTTCACCTGATGTTAAGTGATAACCGCCGCCCATAGGTATTTGCATCGCCCGTAGGGTTGCAGATGCGTTTGCCACTTTTCAATAAAATTGGCGCTCACTCACCAGACAAAATGCAGAAGTATAACTATTCCACTTTACGCCGGTACTCTGATCGTCGTGACTTCTTCTTAGTTCCCCGGACGGACCTGCCCATTCGTGGCCCTACCATATAAAAGTAACAACGCTTGATGTTAATGGTCTACGGCAGTTCGTTCATCTCGTACGCTACTCTTATGAAATGGTTAGTCGGGATGCGTAAGTAATTTGGATCTCCTTGCTAACCGAACATTTTATAGAGTTAACATCCGGTGCAATATGACCGAGGATTCCGGCCAGGACACATTCAGCTTTACTAACTCTGGGTGATAAGTCCAAAGTCGGTAAAGGGAATGAATTACTCGTTTGCTTGCAGTCCCGCGTCAGTTACAGTATCGGACCTGCATGGATCTCCAGAAGAGAAACAAACCCGTTGACAAGGATAAGATGAAGTTAATATTCATCGTTCATCTCATCCCAATCTGCTGACTTCTATCGCCCGCGTATTGCGTTCCATCTGAATTGTAATCGTGGTGGAGAATAAGATGAGAGGAACTTCACCTGACAGCGTTCAAAAGTTCTTACAGAACAACCTGTACACGCTGTTAGTATGGTCCAGGCCATGTCCATATTTTGCAACTATCCATATTTTGAACCCTAGTCACTTTTTATAATTTTGGAGAGGCTTCATCATCACGCCCTTTGGATTTCATCACGCCTCTCTCCTACTCCCACAAGAACCAGCTCTGCAGTCGAGTACCGAGTGAGATGTGCGAGTAAGCGAGTCGAGTTTTGGTGACATAGAATTTAATGATTTTATCGATTTCTATATCTACTGGCACTCGCAAAGTAAAGAGGTAGTGATGCTGAGAGCAGTATATTCCTTATATACATTTATATTCCTTATATCAATGTGAAGCTAGTGGTAACAAAAGGCTAACTATGTATTGATACAGCAAGTATAACTGTACATCTATATATATCGCACCTCGTGGCCTTCTTCAACCAGAAAATTCCATATAGAGTGATTCCACATCACAAAATTTTGATTGCCAACACGGTCTAATGTAATCTCTTCATCTGATGTCTATGTTATAGTGAGTGATATAGAGTAGACAATTTTACAAGGCATGTTTACATGCTTTCCTACTCACGCCTCTGATTGACGGATGTTGTCAAATTGGCATAATATGTACACATATTTTCTTAAATAAAAATATGATTTGTTCAAGGAATGTAGCCGTGAGCCTTGTGTCAATGTTAACCTATCTCGGGTTAACATTAATTCCGAATAAGAATTGAATACTTAAATTATCATTTATTTGACTTTTACCTTTTATAGCCAGAGCTGTGCTTTTCAATGTTAACAGTACTGCTTTTTATCATATAAATGCGAATATTTTTTTTTAATGAATAATTGCCAAGCGAGCGGAAGGTTCACCTGATGTTATGTGAATACCGCCGCCCATGGACATCTGTTACATCCGAGGGTTCCAGATGCGTTGACAACCTTTAGAAAATTGGACTCCGGCCACCTTCCACTTTACGCTGGTCTTGTGAGGTCGTGGTACTTCCCGGACGGGCCTGCCTATTCGTGCAACAGCCGAGACTGCTGCGTGGCCTTACCACCGTGAGTGAAGATATAAGAGAGAATATTTGACTGTCATGTCTCGTAAAGATAAGTTGTGGGGAAGTCAGTCGCGAACGCAGGCAGTTCCAGTCTTTCTGTTCTGCTTCCACAGAATGAGCAAATTCCATGGAATTAAAATGAGAACGAGATGTGCCTAAGAACCGATAATTTAAGAATGGGGTCCAGTTGTGTCTAATACCATGATGGAACGAGGAGTTTATGTGAAAACTACGCCTTATCCTGCCAAAGCATGGAAATTAGACAAGAATAATGAATAATTCAAGAGCAGGTACTGTAACGAGCGATTGAGATCTTTTGTCTACATATTAAAATCCAAAACAAGACTGGTTTTTTTATGTGAAAATGTGACAAGCAATATATAATGCCCATGGACATTTGCAACACCCGTTTGCAGATGCGTTGCCACCTTTTTATAAAGTGGGCTCCGGTTATTTCGCTCACCAGACGAAATGTAGAAGTATAAAACCTCTTCACGCCGATATTCTATGTGGTCATGGTACTTCCTCAGACGGACCTGCCCATTTACGCAACAGCGAAGACTGTTGCGTGAAGATTTTAATATGAATTAATTTTTGTAAATAGTTCCAAAAGAAAATGACACAATAATGGAGGAACGTATCACAGTTAATATGAAGTTTCTGCAAAAGCTGTTCAGTAAATAAGTAGGTAGATACATTTTTTTAAATTTTATGTTATAAAACTACATCATTACTGAAAATTTAACATTTTAAATCAATTTATTTAGATGAGGTATTAACAAGTAGTTTTGTAACTGCATATAAAATTCGTACAGGGACAATGAAAACAGAAAAACCGTAATAAAAAGTTCCAGTTTTAATTCAAGTTATTTATAAGCATTACAACGTATGATGTGACCTTTCTTGTGTTGGTTGGTGGCTTAAACTGGTTTTTTCAAGTTCTGTGCTGTGGTTTGCTCCAAGTTTTCGACAACGGACGATTCTATGTTCTTAGAGCTGCATGAACACCTCGTTGCCTGAAAATCGTGAAATTTTTGTTATACTTTAATAATAATATAGTCTATTATAAAGAGGGAATAATGGAATTCAAGGAACGCAAGAAGTGAATATCTGTATTATGGATTAGTTACAGATTTGTAGTAACAGTACTAGCTATAGGTACAATGTCAAACTGGAGTGTAAAGTCCACTGTCACGTCCGATCTCATTATTTTATTTATTACTGCCGAACTCGTGGTACACCTGCGATAAAAATCGCCATCAACAACTTCATTGGTGGCCACAAAAGGGTTTGAACCCCATTCTGGATTACTCATTTTACAAACTTAATTTTTACGTAGAAACTCTCAGATTGGTTGCAGTTCATCTGATAGTTTTTTTAAACATTGCCCTTAGCTGTAGGATAACATAATCCTGTGTTGTAAGTACGTTTTACATACCTAAATATGTGGACAAACACCCAGATCTGAAATAATTGTCTGTGAGTCACACAAATAGTTGTCCAGTAATTACTTTGGCAACTGTACCACTGACTCGTTCAATAATACCAGCGATAACGTTTAATAAAGTGGACCCCAGCCACCTCACTCACCAGACGAAACGCTGAACTATTATACTTCAATTTCCCACCAATCTATTGTGAGATCGTGGCAATTACACTTCCACTTCACGCCGGTCTTCGGTGAGGTCATGGTACTTAGCCGGACGGGCCTGTCCATTCGTGCACTTACTGCTGCCTGGCCCAACAATCGTAAAGGACACTAGAGAACTACCATGTTCTCATGAAAGTTATTAGCCCTATATGAGCCCCGATAGCAGCTTTAAAGTAATTAAAATCCTTTTCTTTACCCATTTACATTAATCAGGAATTCTCTTCTTTACCTCGTTTTCAAGGCGTAAGGCTCAGGGCGTAAATATGGCTGACGAAGATGGAAAGAAATCTCCGAAACCTAGAAAATCTACACCCCAAGGGATTTAGGGGCGTTGATGCCTTCGAAAGGCAACCTTAGTTATCTCACTTACCAGACAAATCGCAAAATTATTACATATTACATTATATACTGTTAGAAGACTACGGTTAGTTAAAAGTTAACAGTAGTCTTCTAGTTGTCCGTGTTTCTTCCCCAGTTGAGCTGGCCTATACCCGCAAAGTGGATGTTGTGTGGCTATACCATAGATGTATATACGTTACAATACAAGGATTTTACCATTATCATTATCATCAGCCGGAAGATGTCCACGGTGTCAAAGGCCTTCCCTTAGGACGCTAACAATGAACCAATGGCTATACATACATTGATAAGATTCTTGAGTTTCTCGATTGTTTCCGTAGTATTCTCGGCGGGTAGCGTTAGCAACTGGCAGCCGGGTTGTCCGACGCTCCTTTTCTTGCAGACGAGGGCAGAGTCGCTGACTCGACCGCAGCAGACCTCGCGGTACTGGCTCGTCAGCACAGCAGCCATTTCCCTAACATCCACCGAAGACGTAGGCCGCCTGGACAGCTTGCTATCACTCTAGGAGATACCAGAACGCCTGAAGCTACGATTAGCGGATTTCTAAATGCAAAAATTGGCCAACGAGCGTTGTTTTGTGACCAAACAGTTGATTTAGGAATCTTTCATTAATTATTGGAATATAAAAACTTTCCCAGAAGTATGATAAATGGAATTCATATACATTGCCCTTACTGAAGGATAACATTATCCTGTGTAGTAAGGACGTTTTACTTCACAGGATAATGTTATCCTTTTTAATTTTTAATACATAAATTGGACGTGGACCAACACCCAGATCCGAAACAATTATTTATAGGTTTTACAAATAGTTGTCCCGTGTGGGAATCAAACCCACGACCCCCGACATCGAAACATACCTTGGCATCTGCGCCACGGAGTCCCATATGTGTAAGAAAACTTACTTGACCACATTCCAAAAATATTTTTGATTAGGTACTAAAAGAATCTTAACTTATCATAAAACTGCACGTCATTTAAAATTATTTTTAAATATTTTAAGATATAAAAGTATTATTTCAAGTGTGGGATTAAATAAAACAATAACTGTCCTGTAACTAAATCGTTAACTTGAGAATCGTAGTTTGTACTCGTAGCATACATACATAATGTGTGATATTTTCAATTTGATATTTTAGTTAATACAAAAAAAAAAAGGACAATCCACTTAAAATATGACAAGAATACGATACTTATAATGAGGAGTTTTTTACGTCTGGGTAATGATGTTGGGCGGCGGCGTCGGTTCGTAGCTGCGTAGCCGCTGTTGGACACTTGCTACGAAGCTTTGCATCCTCTCTACCGTCCGGTTCATTCCTCTCGCTGCGTACTCTTGTAATTCGGCTTGCCTTCCAAAAAGGATATATTTTATATACTCATAGCCTTCGTAGAGCTCCTAAGTTTGCCCTTTTCCTAGCCTTCGAAATATGACTACGCTCATATTATAATTCTTTAGCGGAAAAACTTACTAATTTGCAAGGAGATATTGAATAAACAAAATATTTAATATCCTTAAGTTTGTTCTTAAAATTTTAAAAATATCACTTAATGCACTTCAGTGTGAATCGAGCAAAAACTTAAAGTCATAAGTGGAATTAATGGAGTTAAGGTAAATACGAAATGTTATGAGTTTGGTTAGCAGAAAGAACGTGCTCTGCTGGAAGCTAGAAGTAGTAACATTTGTAGAAAATAAAGGAAGAAAAGTTTGTATGCTGTAAGGATATAACAAAATTGATTAAATGCAGAATTTATCACTATGGGTATTAAATAAAAACATGAGCTGCAGTAACCATTGCTCCAAGTAGGGGACCCTAAACCTGCGGCAGTAGTGCTTCCTGACGTAATCGGCGTAGCAGAGGGCGAGGAACCAGCAGACGGTGATGTGGATCTGGGGCTGCTGGTGGCAGAGGAAGCGCGTCAGTGGCCCCAGCGGCACCAGCTCCGATTGCCGCCCCAAGAGTCCCACCGTGGTTATTTCCAGCAAGACGCTGGGTGTCTGCAATGGGGCCGTTCAATGGTTCTAACAATCTATCTCTTGTACGCAGTTTTTGCTCCCGTATGTATCTTTGCCATTTGTGTATAAAGACTAATATAAATTATTGATGATTGTTAACGAGTATAGTTGGAGAAATAGGTTTTTACAAAAGAAATTTATCCGTTGGTTAAAATCGTAACTAATATGATTTAACGTATGAAAGTACTTATTGTATTATTTATATAATTACATTAAATTTATTCCTTGATGTTATGCTATACTTATGGAAACATAAATAAATCATTTACGCAGATTTATGTTTATTTTTAATGAACTAAGATGCTTGCTTACGTCTTTAATTAAAGTGTCCAAATAGTACAGGAAAAACCGCATCGAACACACCCACAAGTGGACCATCAGCGCCAGCATTCCCAGCACCATCGTTGACTAGAATTATATAAGGCATGGGCTTAACAACATGATTCAGTATTTTTTAAACCAGTATCAGTATTTTTTATGATGAAAAATTAGCTTACTTTAACTACAAAAACGACGAAGATATAATGATGTATACAAAGTAATTCCTATTCACACAAATTTATTTCATCATCATCATCATTTATGCCTGCTTGAGTCCACTGCTGGACATAGGCCTCCCACAGATTGCCACGAAGCACCATCCTGAGCCACCTGCATCTTTCGACTTCCCGCACATTTGCACAGGTCGTCATTCCATCTGGTGGGCGGTCGTCCTACACTGCGATGGCCAGTACAAGGCTGCCACTCAAGAACCATTCTTCTCGATAGGGTATCGGTTCTACGAGCTGTATGGAAAATATGGAATCAAAAATTTTGTATATAAAAGACATTTTTCCCACCGGGTTTTTGTACATCTTTGTTTTACCCACTGTACTGGACATGAATATATAATATAATATAATAATAATAATATGGACGGCTATAATATCAAATTACCTAAATTTACTAAATACAAAATTTAAGGAATATTTTTTGTTGTCGAATCATGAGCAAATTGTCACCCACCCATCAGGCAGGTCGTAGAAAACGTAGCAACGCGATTCAAATGCCGTTTTGCCGACCACACCTAGGTTGGATAAGGGTAGGAGGTTGATAATAGTGATGACATTCGATTGCCTATCTCGAGTCCACTCACAATCAGGATGTTCTCTAGCAGGATGGGCCGTAGCGTGCCGTCTGCCGTACTGATGGTCGCCCGAAGCTCGCTGAAGAGGAAGAGGGCCGCGGCGCTGGCGAACACCACGGTCGGGCCCATCCCCCACACCTCGCCGTTGCAGCTCAGCCACTTCGCCACCGTGCCCGCTTGGTAAGCGGTCGCATCCTGAACGCGCGCCGTAGTATACAGTATACACCACACACTCATATGCACAACCCAGCCAGCACCGAGTCTTAGGTAAAGTTGACTGATCTACGGCTTCGCTAAACAAAATATCTTGACGTAGAAACTAAGGCATATTCTTTTTCATAACAAAGGCCTGTTCATTTTACTCTATGTACTTTGTGGGAAAAGAAATCTAAATAAGCGTGGGATCATGATCATAATGACAAGTGGCTCTGATAATTTCGTTTTAACCGATCAACAGTTTATTTTTAAATAAATTAGTTTTTTTTAATCATTTTACATCAACTATAAATGATGGATTGAAATTATAACTGTTTTTTGGCTCAGCGTGTCGGAATTTAATCGTGACGTGAATCATTTCGAAATGAGCCATGAAAAAATTTTCCATTATTGATTACTAGACCAAAAGGGGAAATGTCCAACAAGGGAAATTTTCACAAAACTCTTATGGACGCTCATTCAGTGACTTGAGCATGTCATTGCACTGTGGGCACGAGTGTGAAACCCGGATTTTTGCACGTAGGGGGTTCTCAAATAAACAAATTCTTTGTTATATGCTTCTGGATCCAAATCTGCATTTTAAGTTCGTGGTAAATGTGCTCAGGTAACAAGCTATTAATTTTCTTGAAAGTGTACTTACGTAAAGTGTACAGAAGCTTATAGATGGGCCCACCATGCTTACGCCGATGGCAGCTCTCCGGGCGTGGTATCTCCCTTCTGTGCATTTTTTCTAAATCCCTAAGTGCATCGCGGTGACACTGAAGAAATTTAGATCGTTTTCGGTTTTTTGCTAAATTTGTAGTATTTCTGAATTATGTCGGATTGTCTTGCCGAATGTTGAACATGTTGTTATGGACTTTCGTGCAACAGCAAACATTGCTGCTTGCCCGTACCACAGTTTTGACCAGTATATTTCTTTAATTGGAATATTTTGGAACTTTATTTTTTTATATTTTATTGTACACAGAGTATAAGTGAAACAAAGTTACAAAAAAATGTACAAAGGCGAGCTTAACCCTAAAAAGACTTTCCTTCCAGTAAACCCTGACATAAGACTGATGAGAAACAAATCATGATAATATTATTGTAGGTAGGTGTGTAAGAATACTCATACTCTAAACTCAAAATATAATATAAAGAAGAGATTAAAAAAAATGAAGTACACAAAATCATAATTACTTATAAACACAGGTAGAAGTATATATACATAAATGAAATAGAGAAGAGACTGGGCTTGTCGAATGCGAAGGGGCAAAGAATTTCACAAACGCACAGCTGCCTCTGTTAAAGATTTCTTGAAGAAGGAAGAGGAATGTATTGGAGTTTGGAGGGAAAGATATTATTTTGTATATATGCTAAGTATAGGTAGCTTTATGGATGTAGCCCATTCAATTAAATTGAGTATTTGCAATTGCTTTGCATATGTTTAGGTGTGTTGATTGTTGTCCATTGCTTACTGGTCTAATGGTCTAGAGGTTTTTTTTAAACCGGTAAAAAGAACTAAATGTTAGTGTTAGTTTAACTGTGGTAGGACAACTCAACAGTGTACACTGTTGCATGGATGGATCCGTCCGGGTAAGTGCCACGAAATCACAGAAGACCGGCGTAAAGTTGAATTGTTACAGTTCTGCCTTTCATCTGGTGTGTGAGGTAGCCGGGGGCCACTTTATTTAAAGGTGACAACGCATTTGCAATCCTATGGGTGTTGCAAATGTCCATGGGCGGCGGTTAACATCAGGTGAACCGCCAACTCGATTGCCAACTTCTCACTCAAAAAAAAACTTCTTTGAATTAATAGAATAGATATATAATCACACACAGACGCACACGTCTATCTCACTCACACACACTTTCTCACTTAAAAACAAAAAAAAAACAGTTTAAATGGAGTTCCAAATGAAACGACATTTTCGTAAGCAAATGTCCAAAGCGACCCGCGATGGCTGACACGGGTCGCAAGTAGCCATTTGTGTGTTTATTAGAGGACACCTTGATTACATTTTCTAACACACCGACGTGTAATATATCGAACAACAATCACTACGTTAATCAATATTAGCTAACAAATGTAAACATATAACTTAAGGAAAATTAAATAGCACTCTCTGGGTATATGAACTATTGCTTTTTACATTTTTTTTTATAAAAACACTTAACGATTCACTAGCACAGCATGTCTAATATAAGGTTATCGTTTATAGAGAGATATGAGAATTAAATTTCTACGAATATAGTAGATATAATACAATACAAGAAGAGTTTGCATTAAATATATCAAGAAATGTAACGCAGAATGCTAACGCTAACAGTTTATAACAAAGTTATTAATGTTTCATATAACTGGTGAAAAGTTTCTCGTTATTTGCGAAGGCTTATAAAGCGCGAAAAACTTTTCATACTATTCGTTGTGAGACTAACTTTTAAACGGCGTATTACTTCAATGGCACATTCAACATTCATTTGGATATATAATTTTATTTTTAATACTTAACTAACAATAATTTTATAACATGAGAATTTACCTACAGTAACGTATATACTTGTGACATGCACATAATTATAATAACTTTGCAATATTTCTGTATTCATTGCCCGGGAATACAAAAATATTTGTAAGTTATACAAAACCTTCGCATAAATTTTGATTGAAGTATATTAAACAAGCGAAATTTTTCATTTGTTTATCGTCTGATCAGCATTTTTATTTATATTTACAACTTACGTTCTACACAAAGAAAGATTTTATACAACTACAGAATAGGTTAACACGAAAGCGTCATCGACTAGGAGCGGTTTTACAATAATATGATGAGTCTAGATACGATAACATCACTATGTTGTACAATATTTATTTATGGATAATAACATTATATACCCTATCAAATTATTTTAATTTCTTTTGATAAATTTAAGCTTGTAATGTATTTTAAAGATTTAAATATTCAATATATATTAATATTCAAATACATAAATATGCTAGATCTTATTTCGCTAAATTTCTTATCTCGAATCCCGTCCGTTCCTTAATTTTCATGTTTGCTTATCATCTAGAAGCAATTACAATTAGATTAAAGAAATACAGAATTGGATATTCTGAAAGCAATTTTACTATCAGTATACAATCCAAAGTATAAGTAAAATTACGGCTACAATTACAAGTTGGGTTAATGGGGAAATTATTGCTATTCGCATTTTCATATTTCATTTCGAGAAAATTTTTCTGAATATTAAAAGTCTAAAACTTTTGTTGTAACGCCCGAAAACGTGGATCCTACTCGACAAGATGAAGTAGCTAGTAGTTAGCCTGAAAAGGGAGAGAAAATGAGTATTAATAACAGTTGATTTGCGATTCCTGAGTGGTGGAACTCTGGCTTTGACTCACGTTTGGCGTGTGACTTAGACGAGCCACTCGAGGGGCGCGCGCGGTCACAGACTGCAAACGGCCGTGTCACTCGTCGGCACAGACGTCTCCTCAGGTCGTTTGATAGTTAGCAGGCGCTAAAAATATATGTCACATTACTCAGCCTTGTTTATACTACTTTACCGTTTTGAAAATTGGGCTCCGGCTACCTCACTCACCAGACGAAACGCGAAAGTAATATACTTCCACTTGACGTCGGTCTTCTGTGAGTTCGTGGTACTTACCCGGACGAGCCTGCCCATTCGTGCAACAGCGAGGCTGCTGCGTGGCCCTACCACAGTTACGCGTATTGGGATAGATGAAAAATTTATGTCTATGTTCCCTTTTAAAAATGAGTGAGTGCCTAATATAATCGCCCATTATTTTGATAGTCATTTAATTTATTCAATAAACGATCTAAATTCTTTACGCCTTTAAAGTTACACATTAAGCGAAAAAAATGTTTTTAGACTATATTTATATTTTCGCCTGTAGCGGTGAACATGCGCTTTAAAATGATGTTTGATGAATCATTAATTTTGACAGAGATTAAGGGGGAAAAGGGCGCTGCCACAAAAAGTCGCCAGTTTGGAAATATATTTGCATGTATATGATGATCAATAACTTAATGTGTTGTATCTAACCTAGCTACTGAATATATTTATTTAAATTTCATTTATGGAATATTTGCAGGCCTTAAAGGCTAACATAATCCGCTCCTGAACAATGATCTAGATAAACATGGTACATTTTTTCTTATAGCAAAAATAACTTTATCTACAGTTATATAACTATTTATCTATAGGTAGCCATACACTCCAATACTCCCAAAAAAAACGTATTTATAATATTTGTATGCTTTGCAGTGAAGACCGCCTATGTGATAACAGTTCCCGGCGGTGATGATGAACTTTTACGTGATGTAGCTTATAAGATCTCGACGTTATGCAGTGAACGCCGCTTACGTGATAGCAGTTCCCGGGGGTGATGATGAACTTGTATACGATGTAGATGGGCACAATGGAGACCGTGGTCCCTGTCATCAGCCAGCCGACGGCGATGGACCAGGCCGGGTACGTGTACTCCCCACCCAGCATCTCCTCGTGCGACAGCACCGAGAACACGAACAGCCCGAGCAGAAAAACCGGGCTGCGGGCCACAAAACGGTAATCTGTTCATTACTTTTATTAAATGGTGTGCAGTATTTATTATTCACTTGTCAAATTAAGTATTACTGGTGAACAGATGTCCAGTGATTGGTGATAAGTCCCCTGGATGCCCCAAGGGCTTACCTTTCCCCCAGTATATTACCTCACATTGGTTCCTGGTGTAATGCTGTAGCTACCTTTATGTATCTAATTAGAGATGAGGGACCTATTATCTATATATTCAAAAATCAAAAATACATTTATTCAAATAGACGCTTGGGCGCTCTTATGAATCGTCAAATTTTACATCAAAGATTATGTATATAGGTTCGTAACGTACCACCGGTTTGGAAAGCAGTTTCTGTTCTGAAGAGACCGGCAACATCTCATATATTATCTGTATAATAATAATAATAATAGAGTCCAATATGGTTTTGCCTCTCCCTGAATCCTCTCAGCGTATTACTGGAGGGCTCGGGGGGAGCTTCGGAGAGGAGGGACAAAAGTGACCCACCTTTTCTACATGGATGACCTCAAGTTATTCGCCTCCAATCGCTCCCATTTGATGGAATTGCTTAAAGTCACTTGTGATTTCAGCAATTCTATCAAAATGGAGCTCGGGACGGATAAGTGTGCGGTCCTTCATGTCGAAAGGGGTAAGGTCACTAATACGGCGGACATAGACTTATCTATGCCCGTTAACATAAGGACCCTCTCTGAGGCTGAAACATACCGATACCTGGGTATGTCACAAAATATGTGTATCGATGAGGCTGGCATGAAACAGTCAGTTCGTGACGTGTTTTTTGCACGCCTGACAAAAGTGTTTAATAGCCATTTGTCAGGCGGGAACAAGGCACGTGCTTTTAACGGCTGGGTCATGCCAGTCCTCATGTATACCTTTGGCATACTCAGGTGGACTCAAACTGAGCTCAACGCCCTGGACCGAAAAGTCCGCACAACTATGACGTCCCACAGAATGCATCATCCGAGATCGTCAGTGATGAGGCTGTACCTTCCGCGGAAGCATGGCGGGAGGGGCTTTTTAAGCGCCCTCACCATGCACAATCGCGAGGTGTGCAGCCTTCGTAACTACTTTCTGGCGAGATCGGATGAGTCAATCTACACGGACGTCATTAGTTGTGATAAAGGACTTACCCCTCTATCCTTAGCCAACGAGCAATGGCAGGACTCGGGAGTACTGAGCGTTTCCGACCGAGAGGCTGTATGGAAGGAGAAAGAGCTCCACGGGAGGTTCTACAAGGCTCTACACGAGCCTTTCGTAGATACTGTTGCCTCCCTGAACTGGCTACGTTTCGGTGACCTCTTTGGGGAAACCGAAGGTTTTGTCTGTGCGATACAGGATCAGGTTATTAAGACGAACAACTATAGGAGATACATCCTAAAGGATGGCACCGTCGACATCTGTCGAGCTTGTCGCCATCCCGGGGAGTCGCTTCGGCATGTTATCTCCGGTTGTTCCATGCTTTCTAACTCTGAGTATCTGCATAGACACAACCTAGTAGCCAGAATCCTACACCAGGAGCTCGCTCTGAAATACGGCCTCGTGGAACGGAAACTGCCGTATTATAAGTACTCTCCGGAGGCCGTGCTCGAAAATGACCGCGCCAGGCTCTATTGGGACCGGTCCATCATCACAGACAGGACAATTGTCGCGAACAAACCTGATATCGTGTTGATGGACCGGGCACAGTCGCGGGTATTTTTGGTCGACATTACCATTCCATATGACGAGAACCTCGTGGAAGACGAAGTATCTGGACCTGGCTCACGAGGTGACCGACATGTGGGGTGGTGTGCCGACCGAAATTATCCCGATAGTCGTGTCTGCGAATGGGTTGATCCCAGTCAGCCTCTCTAAACATCTGAGGCGACTGGGACTCCGGGACGGATCGCTCCAGGCTCAAATGCAGAAGGCGGTGCTCCTCGATACCGCCCGCATCGTCCGCCGGTTTCTCTCCCTTTCGCCCTAACCCTCGGCCGTTTGGTCTCCCCTGCCGAGGGCTTCCGTCTGGTTGGGTCCTATTTATATATGTATTATATAAAATATTTATTTATATATATATATATATATATATATATATATGTTTATTTCTATCCATAATATTTATTTTATATATGCAATATATATCTATATCTTTATTTTTATTTATTATTTATAAACCCAACCAGACGAGAAAACAAATGAATATCCCCCCTAAATAATAATAATAATAATAAAATATCTTTATTCACATAGACGCTTGCGCGTTCTTATGAAACGTCAAAATTTTACAAGAAATTAACACGTTCGTAAGTTACCACCGGTTCGGAAAGCAGTTTCTGTTGAGAAGAAACCGGCAAGAAACTCAACAGTTGCTCTTTTTAAAAAAATCGGTTTACAATATAATAGTACAGGTACAATAGTCTTGTTTTAGCCTACGTGAGTATCAACAGTATTAATCCCACACATTGCCGTCGTCAAGATATTCGGCAATAGAATAATAGGCTTTAGCCATAAGTTTACTTTAAATTTTTCGTTTAAATTCGTCAAGTGGCAGACTTAATATCGACTGTGGGATTTTATTATACAAGCGCACACTTTGCCCCATGAACGACCTGTTTACTTTTTGTAGACGAAACAACGGCGTAGTTAGTTTGTCCTTATTTCTAGTATTTAGTTTATGTCTGTCACTATTCTTTAGATAACTATTAATATTATGTTTAACATACAAAATATTACAATAAATATATTGAGACGCAACAGTGAGTATATTAATTTCTTTAAAAAGGTCTCTGAGTGTATTCCGGGCTCCGATGTTATAGATTGCTCGGACAGCTCTTTTTTGAAGAATAAATATAGAATTTATATCAGATGCACTACCCCACAACAAAATGCCGTAAGATAAGATAGATGCTGTGGAAATAACTGAAATAAACAAGTCTGGCAGTGTCGATGTCTGATAGCTGCCTAACCTTCCTAATTGCAAAAACAGCGGAGCTTAACCTGTTCGCAAGAGATGATAGATGGGGACTCCATTGGAGCTTTGAATCCACTGTAATTCCCAAGAATACAGCGGACTCAACAGGATTAAGGGTTACGCTATTTAATGTTAAGCTAAAACTTCGCCTTCTTACGCTGGGAAGGGTAAAAAGAAGGCATTTAGTTTTTTTAGCATTTAACACCATATTATTAACGGTAAACCAGTGGAGGATACGCGAAAGTGCACTATTCACGTCGTCATAATCCGACACGTTTCGGTCAACCTTAAAAATGAGCGATGTGTCGTCAGCAAACAGTACAACATCACATAACTCACTGGCATAAAAGGGGAGATCATTTATATACACTAAGAATAATAATGGACCCAACATTGATCCTTGTGGGACACCCATTTTCATGGGGGACCCTGCGGAATTTACATCATTTATAGATACTTTTTGAATTCTATTACTAAGGTAAGAGGCAATGAGATTGAGGGCGATGTCACAAATGCCATAATAATTTAACTTTTGAAGGAGGGTTTCGTGGTCTACACAGTCGAAAGCCTTTGAAAGGTCGCAAAAGACACCTATTGCATCTTGTGACCTTTCCCAGGCGTTATAAATATGCTTGACAAGTGCGACACCCGCATCCGTTGTCGATCTGCCTTTAGTGAATCCATATTGCTCATTGTGGAAAATTTTGTTCATATTAAAATGTACTAAGAGTTGATTTAAAATTAGTTTTTCAAAAATTTTACTCAGAGATGGCAATATGGAGATAGGTCTGTAATTTCCTGGATCATTTTTATCCCCACTTTTGAAAATGGGGATTATCTTACTGAATTTCATAAGATCTGGAAATATTCCAGAATCTATACATTTGTTAAAAATATTTGCAAAATATGGTGCAATATACGGCATTATTGTACTCATTAATTTTATGGACATGCCCCACAAATCTCCTGTATTTTTAAGATTAATAGAATTCAAAACTTTTATAATATCATTAGTATCTATGTGATTAAATTTAAAACGTTTGTCGACAATAGGTAACATTATTTTTTAATACATTAATTGCATCAATGGGAGAGGATTTTAACGTGCATGTAACATTAATTGCAATTTCTGAAAAATAACTTTCAAAACTACTTGCAATTTCGTTATCTGAAGTTATGGGTGTATTGCCTATCACTAGCTTTCCCTGGATATCTTGGGTCTTCCAGATATACAGGTAATGATGTCCCATGTAGCTTTTATTTTATTACTAGAATTTAAAATCCTATTTCTTATGTAGATAGATTTTGCATGTATACAGACTTTTTTAAATATTTTTGAAAAATTTTGTACCCGTTTATGGAAGTTAGGGTCGTGATTCCACTGCCTCATATTATATAATTCATACAGTGAATCCCTACTTTATATATACCCACTGTTGCCCAGTCACTAAATTTTAATTTTGATTTTTTAACAATTGTGCGGGGTTTAAAAAATATGATTATAGGAAGTTATGAGAAAATCAACCATTGATCTATAACAATCATTAGCGTTATTGACTCCGATATCTTTATGGAATAAATGCTGTGCTACTTTATCTTTAAAAGAATTTAGTCTCCTAGCAGTGACTGGTCTACACCTGATCTTAATTTCACTTGTAGTAATGTTTTCATTTATTGAAAATTTTAAACCAAGATGATCAGAGCTCAGATAATTTATAATAGATTTGTCATATACTTCATTGTGACAGAAAACGTTATCGATACATGTGGAGGATAAGTTAGTAACACGAGTTGGTTCATAAAAAAGATTTTTAAGTTTGAATGAATTAAATAAATTTAAAAGCCGCTTACTAAGTTGTGTTACTTGTAATAAATCCACATTAAAATCTCCACAAACTATGACTGATTTACTAGTTAAACACAGTTTTTTAAGGACATCATCCATGATACACTCAAACTGGTCGAAATCACCGGAGGGGGGTCGATACACGCATAATATAATATACTGTTGACTCTCAACGCAGGATAATTCTATAGAACGTTCGACGGAGAGTGCCGTTATATCCTGTCGATTTTTACAGACTATATCATTTCTAACTAACACAAGAGAGCCACCGCGTATAGCATTTACTCTTACGAATGAACTTAACATTTTATAATTCTCTATATTTACAATATTACAATTCTTATGTAACCATGTCTCTGTGAAGCAGATGACATGAATATTAAATTTCCTAAAGAACAGTTCTATTTCAGGTTCTTTGCCACCCAAGCCTTGTATATTCTGATGTACAATATTTAATTTCTGTGGCCTAGGTGTTGTCTCAATGTTTAGTTTAAACTAACATTGTTATTACATGTTTAAATATTCTTAGTTGTACTATGTACAACTGGGTTCTGTATATTGTATGCTACTAAAGTAGCAATTTGTTTCTTATAATATAATGGCAAATACCAAGTATTTTTTGTCACCTTAAAACTAGATTTAATAAAATTATTCATGTGAAAATAAAAGAAAGCGTCACTATGACTACACATAATATTTATATATGAATACCTAAAATTCAAGAACCTTTAGCTTAATTGATATGAAACATATATAAGCACATATGTAAAGGGCGACATGAACACTCCGACATAGTGCCGGATAGATGGTGCTGGTGTCAGTAATTTTTCGGTTACAGATATACGGTTACACGTAAGATTTATTTAGGTGAAGCGGAGCGCACCTGACACCAGCTAGTTGTATATAAACTCAGGGTAATTAAAGTACACGTACCTGATGTAGGTCCAGCATGTTCGCCAGAACAGGCCAGGCGTGTGGCCCAGCATGCTTTTAACGTCCTCTGAGAAGCGGTCGACGCCGTACAGCCAGCAGACACCAGCTGCCTCAGCGAATACCAGGAACAAAATGGCGAGTCCCGGACCATACACGTTCAGCAGATCTACCAGGTATACGCCTCCCTAGAAAAATAAATGCCGGTGAACCGGTGTTGGTTTTTTGATGTTCAATAATAAAATAAAATAGGCCCATATTGAATAAAGAAATTTTTGACTTTGACTTCAATATTTAATAATGAATATTCCGTTAAATGAAGTAATCTTGCAATAACGTTATTATTTTGTCTTATTTTATAAAAATAACACTAGCTGAACCCCGCTACGCTTCTTGCGTTTTCGTTGAAACTTCGGAATAATATATATAGAAACACTTTGCTTTTCAAAAGCTATGTTGTATAACATATTTGAGCTTTGTGGACATAAACATTCGGGAGGTAAATTTTTATTTATAAAGATATATTGTAGGTTATGGATATTGGTCTCATTCTTTATATGATCTAAATTTAACCAATAAATCTATTCCGATTCTGCTTTCTCGTAGACAGACAGAGTTTGGAGTCGTAGAGTAGGCGCTCAATCAAACCTTTTTGGGTAGTTATAATCGTAACCCATCAGTGTTATTTAACTTGCGCCTCCTACGACGGGCCGATGTGTCCAATACATGATACATGGGTGCAGAGCCAACTGAGTGAAGGGGAACCAAGTGCTGGCAGTCAATCTTTCGGCCGGTCATCTCATTGAGTGCGGTCCGATGAATAATTCAGCGCGGTTCGAGCACGGGAGGCGTCTGATAGCGATGTTATTTATCGTCGTCCATTCCTCGGCTTTCATCGTATAAGTTATAGGAAGCACACGAAGAATGTTCGAAAGTAGTAATTCACCGTCGTTCTTGCATCGTGAGCATCTTCCCGGTAAATGATTTCAGAGTTATCGTAAGGCGACGTGGTCAGTAAGGTGGAATTATATAGACAGTCCATCATAACAAATTAAAATAATAATAATATAATAAAATGTATCTATATTTTTATTTATAAAGATATATTGTAGGTTATGGATATTGGTCTCATTCTTTATATGATCTATATTTAACCAATAAATCTATTCCGATTCTTTCTCGATTCTCATTGCTTTCTCGTAGACAGACAGAGTTTGGAGTCGTAGAGTAGGCGCTCAATGAAACCTTTTTGGGTAGTTATAATCGTAACCCATCAGTGTTATTTAACTTGCGCCTCCTACGGCGGGCCGATGTGTCCAATACATGATACATGGGTGCAGAGCCAACTGAGTGAAGGGGAACCAAGTGCTGGCAGTCAATCTTTCGGCCGGTCATCTCATTGAGTGCGGTCCGATGAATAATTCAGCGCGGTTCGAGCACGGGAGGCGTCTGATAGCGATGTTATTTATCGTCGTCCATTCCTCGGCTTTCATCGTATAAGTTATAGGAAGCACACGAAGAATGTTCGAAAGTAGTAATTTCACCGTCGTTCTTGCATCGTGAGCATCTTCCCGGTAAATGATTTCAGAGTTATCGTAAGGCGACGTGGTCAGTAAGGTGGAATTATATAGACAGTCCATCATAACAAATTAAAATAATAATAATATAATAAAATGTATCTATATTTTTATTTATAAACCCAACCAGACGAGGAAACAAATGAATATCCCCCCATAATAAAATGAAATCGTTGTGCATCTTAAGGTATGACACAATTAAAGCATACTAGCTCCCACACTGGGACAAAACTATTAGCTATTACACAACAGAATGAAAAGAGGGATTTTTTATATCTTCTATATAATTTTTAAAACAATATAGATAATTTATAAAATCATCATACAGATGGATGGTGCCAAGAGGGATGTCAAATTGTTTATTGATTATCACCTTTTAATAAAGTGGGCCGCGGCCAGACGAAACGCAGAAGTGGAATACTTCTACTTCAGGCCGATCTTCTGTGAGGTAGTGGTTTTTACCCGGACTGACCTGCCCATTCGTGTAAAAGCGAAGACTGTTGCGTGGCCTTACCCCAGTTGAATTGTTATGAGTATCCTTTGTTGTATTATTATGTAAGAAGATCCACATATTAGATTGATATAACATTTTGCGACCCTATGTATCGCTATTCATTGCTCATAAAAGTGTAACCCAAATTATTTTTTCGTTTACGGCTCAATTATTTTATGGAATGCCATCTAAATCCATGATTCGCGGCGTCATATTGTTTCGTGCGCGCATCAAAACAATTTGTGCTGACTGTGGTCCCCGCCACGTAATGCCAAAACGCTTTTACCGTAATCCTCGAAGAGGGGAATCTATTGGTCTGATCTTGTTTTTCAATGGAATCGCTTGTTATCGTTTTACGATCCTTTGAGTATAATATGTTTTATTTGAAAATTTATTGCAGAGCATTTGGTCGCAACGATCTGAATTGGATACGGTGAAATTAATGACGCTAAGAAATCATTATTAAAAGTTTAATAGTGGAACATAGGTATTGTAAAAACTTCAAATTAGAGAAACGTATTGGTAATGAGTACACGTTCATTAACGAAAATTATATGGACTTGAAATATCTCACTCGTTACATTTTCTATTTGGTTTTGAGGAGTTCCCTCATATATCTCTGGAGACCAAGGTTATATGCCAATGAAAGTAATATGGGACCACATGGTATAGCTGAACCGAAGATAATATAAAAAGAATTTTTAAAATCGGTTCACAAATGACTTTTTCTGAGGTAATAAAAAAATACCACATAGAGACTCCTCCTGTTTTGTAGTCCGTTGAAAATGTAGGTACTAATTTAAACTGCGAGTTTTCTAGTTAGATGCGCCAAGCACTGCTTCAAATGCTAAATAAAAACGTAGAAGGAAGGCGTTAAGATTTTCGTCGCTGTGGCTATCAGCCGTTTAGCTCAGTGGCTAGAGCGTCAGGCCGCGAATGCCGAAGACGTGGGTTCGATTCCCACAGCGGCGACAATCTTTTCGTACTTTTTCTACATGTTTTAGTGCGAGTTTTCTTTTATATCAGAAGGTGGCAAACCAGCTGGCAGTTCCCCTCGATGTTAGGTGATATCCGCTGCCCATGGATATTTGTAATACCGTAGGGTTGGTTGCAGATTTGTTACCACTTTATTATAGAGTGGGCCCCGGCTTCCTCACTTACCAGACGAAACGCAGAAGTGTAACACTTCCATTTTACGCCGGTCTTCTGTGAGGTCGTGGTAGTTACCCGGCCTGCCCATTCGTGCAGAGAAGACTGTTGCGTGGCCCTACCACAGTTTTTAGTATCGAGTGTAACATATCTCTCGATTCTTCCTCGTCGATTCTCAACCGCTGACAAAGGGTGCACTTACGTAAGTCGTGGTGGGCAGAGCGCAGATGTATATAAACAGCAGCAAGAAGGCCACGAATATTTCCCTATGGCGGCCCAGCACGCGAGGGTATTCATCGCAGAGGGCAGTCGTCACGGCTTCCAAGCCTGCACAGATCAAGTAATACGAGGTAAGTCATGGGAAAAACTGCACAAGCTTTTACCTTCATATTTCGAAATAGAAACAGCATATAATATGTGCTTATATGTATTCATATATTATAATCCCTATACCCTTTTTATAAAGTTTTTCTTTAATACATTTTTTAAACCTGTTAAGCAGGCTCTGCGCATTTACTGGGATTTCGTTGTCGAAGCGTACATACCGCCCCATGAACGAGTTGCTTACTGTATGGAGTCTAGTATCTGAAATAACAAAACCCACCCCGGAACAACTATCTGTGGTTCACACAAATACTCGTCTCGTGTTGGAATCGAACAAATGACTCGCGGCGTCGAAGCCAATAGCTTAGCAAATGTGCCACCGAGTCTTCTTCCGAGTGTAAATTTTCCACTAACTGACCTACCTCACACCGCCTACGGCCGCACGCAATGGAGGAGAACGTCATGTGGTCACGATCCTTAGCATTGAGGGACCAATTAAGAAGGAAGGATATACCTCCGAAAGTGCTGTCCAATCCCAGGGTGATCAGCATCAGAAAGAATATTATGGCCCAGAAAACTGAACCGGTCATAGTCGCGATCGCCTCCGGGTACACGATGAACACCAGACCCGGACCCTCCAGGCCCACTTCTTCGATGCTCTTGTTTTGAACATGCGCCATATACCTGTGATTAAGTTTTATTACATTCCAACTGTCAACATTGTTTTTTTTTTACGTGTATAGAAATCCCCTTAGCCTCGATGTGATATATATTTGGATAGGGATAACTTAATATTCACCCAAGAACCGAAAAGATGACGAATCCGGCGAGGAAGCTGGTCAGGCAGTTGATGGAGGAGGTGATGAGAGCGTCTCGGTAGCAGTTGTTGTTGAACTTGTTGTAGCTGGAGAGGGCGAGAAGAGTGCCAAAGCCAGGTCCCAGGGAGAAGAAGATCTGGGAAGCCGCATCGATCCACACCTGCCGGGAAGTGTTTCTTTAAGACGTATGTAAGTATGGACGTATAAATTAAAATAGAAGATTAAAAATCTCATATGAATTGGGAGTTCTCTAGTTTTAAATTATATTTCAATTTTTTTATTTATTATTTACGACATATGAATTAAATTAGGTATCAAAGACGTGTGTGTAAGGATAGTAAAAAATAGGTTGTGTTTATTTATCACTTATTGGTGTGAGTACATATGTACGAGTATGCTTATTTAAATTGAAATAATGTGTACGTAGTAGTGAAAATGAGAACGGAAGATTGAAGTAGTAGTTAAAAATAGATCTTATCGTATCAATGAACCGCTTGCCTTAGAATTCTGCAACTTGTGCCATTCGGGAGTGAGGTAGTATCGTATGCCTTCGGTAGCACCGGGCAATGTAACTCCTCTTGCGAGCAGAATTAAGAGGACCACGTAAGGCGCCAGAGCCGTTACCCATACCACCTGAGAAATAAAATCCTTTTTATGCAACGTTCACAATTGTAGGTAAGGTACTCTAAGTTCATGACAACTCTATGGGTCCTACCTTTCCAGCACTTCGGACTCCTTTCCACAGCGAGAAGTAAACGAGAACAAAGACACCGAAGACGCACAAAGCTAACGATGGCTTGATGGGGCCCATGTCATCAAGGCCGTTGGATTTGTGTTGCTCGAGCACGTTGCGTCTGAAACATCACACTGTTGAAACACCTGCTACAGAATACGAAGAGATAAACAAAGAACATTCTACAATGAAGAAATAAGAAACAAGTACCACGATAGGGCCACTCCATTTTCTCTTACTGTAACAGGGCCAAAAAGCAGTTCCTCTAATGCACGAATGAGTAGAGTCGTCTAGGGAAGTATCAAAGCCTCGCAGAAGACTGTCAGTCTTTTACTTAAGCGCTTCTACTGGTGAGTGAGGTAACCGGGGCCCAATTCTTTGAATATCGGTAACGCATCTGCCCACTAAAAGGCGTTGTATATGGCCATGGGCATAAATGTCTGGTGAACTTCCTACTCGCTTACCAACTCCTTACATATAACAAGTACACAATGCGGATTTGTTCTACAAATCTGCTGTGCTGGTGCTTACTCGAAGAACTCCTTGGCAGGCGTGGTGGCGTTGAGGAAGATCTGTGGTGAGGTGATTGGTGTACACAGAGGCGTGTTCCACTCGTTGTCACAGCTGGTCCAGGGCAACGAGGAGCTGATGGAGGCGAGGGAGGCTATCAGGTAGTACACCGCCCAGCCGATGATCGTGTTGTAGTACATGCCCATGTAGATGTCGATCATACAGATGGCGTAGCCCACGCCTGTGAGAGAAATACGATAAATAGAACCCTATACAGGTTTTCCGTATTAATTGAAACATACGAGTTAAGACCAGGTGATGAATTAATTGGTTTTAATATTTGCTTTTGCTACAAAGTGTTGAATCCGCAAAATAAATAAATCACTTAACTATTCTAAGTTTGCGATGAGTGTTAATCTACAGAAAAAGGTAGAGCTTACGTTTCTCTTGTAGCATTCGTAGCATCTTCGTAGCTTTACGAATATAAGCTTAACGAGACAATTCTTTGAATCTATATTTTTCTATTTTCTTCGTTGATAGAAATTATTCTCAAGCTTTGAATTATCCAACGAGCTGTATTTGTAGACAAAAAAGTGTCACGTTTGTAACACAGTAAACTTCATGACTGATATTGTACATGTCGGAGAACGAAAGGAAATCATGACACTAAAACTCTGTTCTAATTAAGTTAGCAGCGCTTACGAATGGACATAAAACCGAATTACCGACGTTCATCCTATCACAATAAATCTCCAAACATCCAGAATCGAATTAATCATCCAAAGCGGGCGCCAATTTAAGGCGCGCAAACTTGGCGCGAACTCGCGTCGCCATTTTTGATCGAATCAGCGCCATCTGTCGGGCGTTGGATGTCGTTAATTGGTTTAGGTTGCGAGATGGCGTTATTCACGAGGAATGATCTGCCATAGAAGTTTCGCCGGGAAATGCAATGCTGCTCGGCACGAGAATTGAGTTTCTAAAACGATATTAGAAAGCGATAGCTATAATGCACATTTAAAATATTTTTGTATAGATAGAACATTCATACAATTATGATGAAAGTAATCTTTGAAAAGTTATAAAGAAACGTTTGTATAAAAAGTGAAAGGTAAGTTAGGTCAGTTATTGAAGACAAACATTTTTTTTAATCTTGGAAAATGGCACACGAAATGGGCCACGCAACAGTGTTCCGTAGTAGAAGTGTTACATTTCTGTGTTTCGTCTGGTAAGCAGGAACCTCCCTGAGGCCCGCTTTATTAAAAGGTGGCAACGCATCTGCAAACGGGTGTTGCAATTGTCTATGGGTGGCAGTAGGTAAACTGCCAGCTCATTTACCACCTTCGCACATAAAAAAATAACTAAATTGATTCGGTTTTGTAGAATGATAAAGAGATATACGTAACCCTTAGAAAAGTTAAGTTATACAGTCTATCTAGAGACTCACACAATGAACGAACAGCAACAATTTGTGTACCGTTTCACATCACGTGTAAAACGACCAAGGATCGTTACGTACGTGATTTATCGGGAAAAAGGCGCGCGATTTCGCTTGATAAGCGGATGACGGGCAGATGATGCATGCGCCAGAGATAACGCTACGCGCGCAGACATCTTTTAATATTGATGAGCGCGGGAAACATTCCACGTGATATATATACGTGTTTATGGTTTTTGGGCCCTCACCCACTGAATGGCTTAACACACGCGCCTGTTGCGCAGAGGGGTAGGCAAATACAACTGGCACCTCGGCTTCCACTACGAACGACCTTTGTGCGTATCTCTCGCTCATTTAATTTTCGTAATATGCTAAGGAAATACAAATATGTAACGGTCTTCGCTATTGCACGAATTTGGACGCACTGCAACGGCAGGTGCGTCCAGGTAAGTATCACGACCTCACTGAAGACAGGCGTGAAGCTGAAGTATTATACTTCTATGTTTCGTCTGGTGAGTGAGGTAGCCGGACTTCCATGGGCGGCGGTTATCACTTAACATCAGGTGAACCGCCAGTCCGTTTGCCACCTTCTCATATAAAAAGAAATCGACTTTCTTCTATATTTCACATTTGGACACAAATGAGGCTTGGCATAAGTGATGTAAAGATATGTATGGTTCTGTATAATAATGTCAGTTGCGAATCTAAGATCACGTAATCCTTTAATTTAAATTTACGACCATAATTTAATTTATCTCAAAAGATTGATTTTACCGTGACTGGTCAAATCTTTACTTCGGTCAGTCTGCTTTGCGAACAGTTTGCAAGTTTCCTCAAGTTTGCGAGAAGTCGAGTTTTTGTAAGTTGTTAAATTGGTCAAATTATGCGGCGGTAGGAGACCGGGCTCACGAGAACCCAATGGGTCACGAACGCTTAGGGTGTCAGGAAAAATGCTATTATTTTGTCATTTACAGCGGTATAATTTGTTTTTCATTTTAGTGTTACAAAATTATATTGTATTACGTATTATCCTTTTTTTTAATCTCTATGGGCATAACAGTTACTATGAATGTTTGTTAATGACTAAAAAAGTAGAGCTAATATCGTTACTACGTAAGTCTTATTAAGATGAATTCTTTATTTCATTTTAATATTTTAATCTGCTTCTATATAAATATTAAATTCTAAAATGAATGAGTAGCCTTTGCTGTGGAAATATCAGCAAAAAGGCTAATATTTTTGTGACGTTTCAAAATAATAATTTTTTTTATTGTCAATCTCTTTATAAATTAGGTATACGTCTGTAGTACGTTATGTATTGATGATATAATTCCTTGGAGATCCTTTACGTAAATCCAAAACGATTAATAATTTAAACGATACTACTAGTGTACTAGATTACAATTACGTGATTATTAATAATAAAGAAATAAACGATGACTTCTAAATAAACTTCTTGTGTGTGATATTTATTGCCCCCAATTTTAACCGCGTGCAGATGATTTGTACACGGATCAAACATTTCTCGAATTGACCGAGAAAGATCTAAATGGTTGCGCCTGAAAGTAGCTGATGCAGTAAGAGCACATCAAATATTTGTCCAACAGATCACGCGGGGCTATTGGTGGGGCTTGGCTAGACGATCACGTATTAAAAAATCGCGAAGGAGAAATTGTCCGCCTTCATTCCACCATTAATATATGTATCTTCATTCCACGAGTAATATAATTCAATGACATTGAATTTTTTCAATTAGTATTCAATGGACATACCATCGAATGCTATATATGTATTTGGTAGTTTGTAACAGAATATTTAGTCATATTTATTATATTTTTTAGCCTGATATATACATCATGTCGTAAGTATCATTAATGTTCTGTATGTGTAAGTAAACAAATTAAGCGGCCATTCGTATATCTTTCATATTGATAAGCAACTTGAATTATGGAAAATTTTAAAAAACGTAGTGATACGTGATACTTTGGATATTATAGATATAAATAACACATAATGATCTCACATCAGAAATATATTAAACAAATTACTTATAATTAATATCTAAAATTAAAACTAACAAATGTTACTTATAAAAATAAATAGCTACTCAAAATACCAACTACTTATACAAGTACCTTATTAAATTACCTATGTGATACATCTTGCTCTCTCCGAATTTGTTATGATTTGTTTTGTACTATGCCGTATAAACAGGGCCCATAAAGAACTGTTTTACTAATTATCCTAACACCTTTGTTACTTAATGGATGTGCAATAAATAAATAAATAAAGTCCCCACCCCACCACCCCTATCTGTCTTTCTGACGCGATACACTCAAAAACACTGAACTGATTTTCATACGGTCATGTTTAATAAACGGAGGGGCATGGTTATCGGTGTATAATTTATTTAACGATTTAACTTAAACTGGCTGAAGTATGACGATGATTATAAAGATGTCGACAAAATCACGACGTACGGATAAAACTGGAATGGCAGCGAAAATAGGCGTCTTAATTCTGCTACCCATGCGAAGCCGGGGTGGGTTGCCTGTTATGAAATGTAAAAGAAATATTTAAAACTAACTATTTCAATTTCTTAATATCTTTATAAAATCTTATCTTTCTTTCTTTATAAAATTTAAATTTACTTAATGCTAAACTCTGCACTTATGAAACATTTTAAAATTTTTAGAAAAAACAATAGATCAAAATAATAATATTTCATCTTAATTCATATAGCCATGGCGACATCTCTCGTTCGAATTATAGTTGATACGATATTGAAATTTTTTATTTGCTGTAAAAGATATAACAATAGATGCGCAAGGCATTGCCCAAAATGCGAAAAACCAATGTAGATAAAAGTTGCGATTTTCATTGATGTGGCAATCAGCCGCTTAGCTTAGTGGTTAAATCGTTTTATAATTTATAGTTTTATTTTCTAGAAATTATTTAGAACGTACTAAAATTTAAAAGCCTCTCCATAACCGTGCAGTTCCTGGTGACCGTTTAATATAATCTGTGGGTACGCATCATTCCGCCTCTTTTCCCGCGCAAGTGGGATTCGAAATCGCAATTGGGTAGCATCGAGTAGCATCGAGTTTCATACATTTTAACCAGGGGCACTATCCGCTGAGTGCTGACCATTTGTCTCGTCTTAAAAGCATTGCCTCCTGTATATTTATAAAGGCCACGCTATCTAACGGCCGATGGACTGTCTGTAGCTACGGGAAACGATCTAATGTCTATTCTATTGCATATGACTAAGCGATATTCCTTCTCTGCTTTTACGAACTAAACATTTGTATTCTTCTCGACACTTCTGACTGTCGCTTTAGATCAGTATACTATTATTATTTGTTTGCAAATCGGCAAGTTTTTGAATGGATGTTATCAGTAACACATTAATACAAGTTAAGCTAAGAATACAATCCACGGATGATTTATTAATACACAGTTTTTAGTTTTACATATGTATATATGTTACGGTAAAAATGGTTATTTTAGATATTTTATTTGTTACTGCTAAGTACTAATAAAAACTGCAATTATAAACCTCTTAAAGTGTTTTGTAAAAAAAAGACAGTAGGTAATAAGTGTCACAAAATGTGAATTATTTAACTGATTTATCGACTGCAAATATGACGTTAGCATTTAAATAAAAAACTTGGTATAACATTTCGAAAGTGTATCAGAATCCAGAGTACACGTTCAGTGGTTAAAGAAAGTTCAACAATGTAGATAAAAGACGTTAAGATTTTCGTCGGTGTGGCAATCAGCCGTTTAGCTTAGTGGCTAAAGCGTCAGGCCGCGAATGCCGAAGACGTGGGTTCGCTTCCCACAGCGGCGGCAATTTTTTCGTACTTTTACTTTACTTTATGTTTAATCTTAAGTGCAGAGATAAACACTATAAAAAAAAATCTAAGAAGCAATGGTGACGTCTCTCCTTCGAATTATCGTTGTAAAACGATATTCGAAATTGTTTGTATGCTGGAAAGGATATAACAAAGGACGCGCCAAGCATTAACATATTCGTCGCAATATTTAAGAACAAAGAGAAGTTTTAAAGCGATCAATTGATAAACATTTCAAACGTTTCCCCTACACCGTTGGGATAGTAAATTTCGATTGTGATACACCTTTATCTATCGATATGCGAATAACAACCGTTTATCATCGATTTCTTTGCGAATCCCATGACGGATCCTTTAATATCCTCCGTTAGGCAATCAGTTGTTAGCTAAATGTTGTGTCGGTGATGCAACGCGTCGCTTAGGGACGCGGGGAGTTCCACAATTACTTAAGGCGTAGACGATGAAACGTCCACACGTAGTTAACTATCCCGGCCCGGCTTCGCACGGGTGTACTGTATTATAGATATAAACCTTCTTCTTGGATCACTCTATCTAGTAAAAAACCGCATCAAGATCCGTTGCGTAATTTTAAAGATCTAAGCATACATAGGGACAAACAGACAGCGGGACGACTTTGTTTTACAACATGATCATAGAATATTTGCCTGTTTTCTCTGGACTCTTATATACGTGATAGGGTAAGTGCTTTAAAGGAGAAACCAAATAAAACAAATTTGAAGTTAACTATGATGAATGTTTCATTTAATAAATTTTGATGTGACTGATAATTATTCTTTAGTGTTTTTGTCTGATTGTGAAAACAGCATTCAATATTACAAGTGTTATTCAAAATCAAGTGATGTACAACGAAAAACATATGTTCTCCTCTGAAATCATTTTTATATTTATGGACTGTCCTTATGACATTCAATATAAGGTTTCGTTTTAAAAATTCCATCAAATTCAGATGAATTATAACATCGCATGGAAATCTTATTCAGATTCGTTGCCTACCTTTGAGAGCAGGACAGATCCTTTTCCAGAGCGTGATGCAGCCACACCGGTGGTACTGGCCCAATGCCAACTCCAAAAAGAACAAGGGGAGGCCGCCAAACAGCAGCATTATGCAGTAAGGAATCAGGAACGCGCCTGTGAAAGAATGTTATATTAAAGTACTATCAAATCTAGGCTATGGTAGGGCCACGCAACAGTCTTAGGTCTAGTAGTAGGTCTTTCTGGGGAAGTACCACAACCTCACGGAAGACCGGCGTGAAGTGGGAGTGTTATACTTCTGCGTTTCGACTGGTGAGTGAGGTAACCAGGGCCCAATTTGTTAAAAGGTGGCAACGCATCTGAAATCCTACGAGTGTTGCAAATGTCCATAGGTGGAGCATATCACTTAACATCAGGTGAACCACCAAAAATCAATATACGTAGGGATGCCGCGTCCTTTAACTAGACTTGGGTAAAAAAAACGATACGCCACTCAATAATAGTTACCATCTTATCAAGTTTAATAACTTAGACCATGCACATAAAACTCATACATGCGACATATCGATTTCCTGCGATATTATGTTTTATTGACCAAGAACTTAGTATTTCAGTGCTTAAAATTGTAACAATAAGTTTGAAGATCATCAAACGACACTCTTCTTAGTTGTCTACTTTTGTCTACTCCTGTGTCTATTGGAGAACCTATGAGTATAAAGAACTAAAGTCCTCACCGCCGCCGTTCTGATAGCAGATGTAGGGGAAGCGCCAGACGTTGCCCAGGTCCACGGCGAATCCGACAACCGCCAGGAGGAACTCCACTTTCTTGGCCCATGTCTCTCGCTCGCGGGCCGGCGTCAAGGACACTACTACAGACCGGGTCTTCGGGGGTTGCTGGGCAGAGAGGGTGTGAATCGATATTATTGTTTTTTTGGTTTTTACGGAACTAAAAGAAAAATAGGGAGTTGTCTTTGTGACACAGTCGTGACACGCAGACATGAAATCGTAGATGCAGAATACACTAAGGTTAAACAACTAATCGTTGATCTCATAAGTTTTTACCAGATATCGGACCCACAAGATAAGATCCAACCAACCACTTATTAAATAACAAGTATTCTTATTAGAAAGGGTTAAGTTGTATTATATGAGAAAATTACAGTACAAAACTATACATAAAACACGCGAAAATTTTAAATAATAAAATGCTGAAATACCAAAGATTTCTCATGTTCATAGCAACGACAAGCAAAGGCCATTTGACAGCAGAAAATTTTTGGTAAAAAATATTTGTTTTTATAAATCTCCGTTCATTATACTTTCGAAAATTTCACAATAACTTATGCGATCGCGTCCTATCCCCTATCACTGTGACGAGGGTAGGACCACGCATTAGTTTGCGCTGATGCCCGAATGGGCAATTCCTTCCAGGGAAGTACCACGGCCTCACAGAAGACCGGCGTGAAGTGGAATTGTTACCTTCTGCGTTTTCAAACTCAAAGTCAAATATCTTTATTCAATATAGAAGCATTACACTTACTCATTGATGGTCAAAAAACTCTACTACCGGTTCGGAAAGTAAGCCACTGACCTGAGAAGAACCTGGGTAAGAAACACAGAACTCAGACTCCACGGGCGGCGTTTATCATTTAACATCAGGTGACGGTTTACCAGCTCGCTTGCCACGTTCTCACAAAAATAATCATCTCCGTTTAATGATAGTTCTTAAATAATACCGTGAAATAAGCTTCGTTTACCGTTGGTTGCGTCGGCGGCCGCTGAGCGTGCTGGTCGGGCGGGTCGTGGGCGGCGGTGGTGGGGGCGGGGCAGGGCGTCGAGCTTGTCGCCGGTGGCATCTCGACGTCGCTGGCTGCCTCGTTCTCTCCGTACCGCCGCTCCGGGCCTGGACTGCCGCCCTGCATCAACATTTCAGTTCTGTTAGAGTCCACTCCTGAACATACTTCAAAGTCAAATTCATAATGTCTTTATTCATTATAGGCTTGTTTTAAGTTAATATTTACTAAGTTAGAGCCGTCCAGAGAAGAACCGGCCGGACATTCTGCGGTATTGTTTTCTTTTTTTTAATGATATATCCAAATTAATGACCCAGCAGCAGCCAGAGGACTTGTAAGTGCAGAACAAGAGTCATTTCCACACATCATTAAACTCAATGTGTTCTTTGACATTATAATAGGACCTTCCATTAGGGTAGCTTATAAAAAAGTGTTATAAAAATACTTTGTTATTTGTAATTACTTAAGATGAGTTATCATATTATAAATCGTGAAAGGCTGTGTGTACGAGTTACGTAAATACGACATTAAAGAGGAATAAAGACGAGGAGTATGTTAAGTAACCAATTCTCAATTTGTCTTCCTTAGCATTTAAACTAAAATCGTTCGATATCAAAAATATATTCAGTTGCTGTATTGTAACAGTTGCCTAACCCAATAGGTAATTCAGTAATAAGCTTCGAGCTCGATTAAACTCTCTAATTGAATTCATTAGCTTGGAAATTTAATGTCATCACATGCGGTACCAACAAAGTGCGTAGCATTTGTTTTCGTAGCGAAGTTACGCTAGTCTATTACACTGTAAATATTTGCGTAGCGAATTTGTCCACTGTTTAATTACGACGCGAGTTAATAGGTTGTAACGTCAAGAATAGTTAAAAATAGGATGTTTAGCTGCTTTGTTTTTTTTTTTTAATAAAGGAAACATATTTCTGTTCTCTCTGTAGTAAAATATAATTTTAATGTTGAAAAGTATGGTTTAAAGTTAGGCTGGTCGTATATCGTATATACATGCTATATCTAACAAACGACATTAATGGTGTAATAAAAAGAATGAAAAACATTAATATTAAGGCTATAATTTTTCAGTTAAAGTAAAATGACAAAAAGTTTTTTCGTTACGTAGTATATTTTCTATTGTAATCTTTAGATTCTATTCCCAAGTTTGATGTATTGTGCATGTCGAGAAATAAATATAATTGTAGCGTTTGTAGTAAGCATTACGCCAATTGCAATTGGGCTATACGGTATCATATTTCTGTAGCAAATATTACGTAGCGCACGCGTCGTGGCCGTAGCTACAGTCCGTAGCAAATATGAATATAAGAGTGCACACTTCGTATCTGTAGCCGTAGTCCGTAGTAAATATGAATATTAATTTGTGCTCGCCCACCGTAGCTCTAGCCGTAGTCCGTAGCAAAAAAGAATATATATCCATAGTAACTTAATGGCCGTTCTACGGGGAGTGACTACGCAATTGAAAGTGGAAGAGACCTTTGTAAGCTCATCTCTCGGTTCTCGGTGAACTCCTTAAATCGCCAATTGAACGCAACAACAGTCTCGGCGATTTGTTGTGTTTACGGAGAGCGCCTCGACAAACATCCCGAGCGGCCGAAAACGATTGCTTCGCAAATAAAAATAATAAAGTGTGACCGCAGCATTCGAGAGGATTTAAACGATGTGTCTCTCAGAATCGAGGATTCAAAATTCACATCGGCTTTACATGACTTTAGGATTGATACGAGGAAAATATTGAATGAATAAATGAATATTTATTTAGTTTTAACAAACACGGTTAAGTTAACAATTATAAAATAAAATTAAAATAAAAACGCCTTTAATTTCTTGCAATTATACATTTGTATTTTTTAATTTCTATCCTTTGTCTGCAAGAACCTCAGATTGGGTGAAGGCCTCCTCCAAAGATTCCCATTTGTGTCGAAGTTAAGTTAACAATTAAAAGAATACGAAACTAAGGCAAGTAACCAGAGAGGTATGTACGATTTACCGATTTTCATGACCATGAATTGATGGAGATTTGTTTTATTAATTGACAATATTGATTGGGATTGTGATTAATGTTTATACATAATTACCTAATTCGGCTGTAGTTTGATAGAACAAGGCCTTATAAGTAGTAGGGAAGCATGCTGGTCTATGCCCAGAAAAAAACTCCACTGCGGATGTGGAAATTTAAATTATTTTCTATTTCGATCTTTTAACAGGTTTCCTTTTGAATGAAATGATAATTCCTTAGATTTAGGTGAGAATTTCACTATTTCATTCTGAATAAATCGGATCAATATAATAAGAATTTGACGATCCGCTCAACTATTGCATTAACGACCGGTTTCTGAAATACTGATCATCATAGAAGTTAACTAATCAGCTGTCAAATGGCTTTTCAAATGTCATCATCATCATGAACATCATTCTGATCTAATCTAACTCGAACCACACATGGAGGAATTTAGTTTCGTTTCGACATAGTTTTTATTAAATTAAACAAGTATTTTAAAATTAAGTTTTATTAAATTGAACAAATATTAAAATATGCATGAGCCCGCATATACACGCATATAAAAATTACATAAGAGGGCAGAAGCTAACCTGCTTTTGCAATCGGAATCGTTTAAAGTGGTCTTGATAAGTGTAATTAATTTAGCTCCGTCAGGGAAATGACTGGCTACTCTTAAAGCTTTTACTTGAGAATGAAGGATGCGGATGAGATAATGAAAATGGACATATACTTACACTGCCGGATTGATTTAACACTAAAAGCGAACCAATTTATCAACCGTATCAATATAAAGTGTTACACACACACACACACACATATAGATATATATATATATATATATATATATATATATATATATATATATATATACCTATGGAGTCTCTTTCGTCTGTTTCTTCTCCGTTAGAGGAGCATCATTACGAAACGGTGGTAGATTTAAAAAATTGACTATCGATAGATGAAATTTATATTTCTTACTTCGATAAATAAATTATTTGATTTGATATAGTAATGATTTATCATTTCGGGACCGGGGATCGTGGATTCAATTCCACGAGACAAGTATTTATGTGACCCACAGGTAATTGTTAGGAGTTCGTTCACAAGGAGAGCTGACGTCAGGCGGCTGGTCGCCAAAAGACAGCCAGAACCATAATCAATATGATTCACATTTTGTGCCAACCGCTCCATATAATAAGAATAGAATAAAATACAAAGAATAAGACATAAAGAGTTTAACTAAATATTGACCAAAAAGATATTACAAACCAGAACCTACATTACAAGTAAAATAAGACACGGTAAAGGTTTTATTCGAGTTAACAATTTTATCACTTGCTCAGTGGTGAAAAAATTATCGTGAGGAAACTTTCATATTACACAAGAAGTAAGAAAAAATATTTCGTAGATATGTGAAGTCTACCAATTCGCGTTGTAGTTGCGTGGTTCTAATAAACTCTGTATAGAGGAGGCCTTTGCCAGGACTTCTCTTTAGAAAGATTCCAAATCTGATAAATTAGTTTCCCTTACTTTACTTAGTTCACAAATGTTCTACTGGGATTTTCCTAGTAAAACCCACTCTATTGGGGTCTAAAGGGCGTGTTAATTTTCAAATCACAATCCATAAATCGCTATTTGCCTCTACGGGGATAAAATCGATGGTGATATCATGCACGTAATGTGCTTAACAAAATCTCTACGTAGAAGAAGTCGCGCACAAGAGCCTAAGTCATATATAAAAGATACGCTGAGCACCGCTGACTATTGGCCATTTTATCGACAATAACACTTTGTAGCGTCGTAAACCCAACAAAGAGTGGAATACCACGTAGTGGGGTGTTTTGCATTTTATTCCCCAATCTAATGTCGCGATGAGCGCGTTAAAACATTGTTTCGCTTGAAGATCTCCGTCTATCCTATTTTGTACGTCAGGCTTATAAAGATGTTACGAAAGAGTGTTGAAGCTATTGAAAGCATCGTGGGTATCTGCTATGCTATCGAATACACGAATGCGACATGTCTTAAACAAAGCTGGGGCAAAAGTAAAAAGCAATCTTAATCCCCGTTAATCGATCTGTTTTTAAAAATAAATATTCTGTATCAATGTAAGATGCGATAGAGCTTATTTTATCTCAACTTCACAAGGATGAGCTTCTCCGTATACCTTATATAAATATGATGTCAAATCTGCCTCATGACTGTAAACTAACTAATATAAAAGTATTATTGTAAAAATGAAACGTCAGCATAAAGCAAAAAATCTCGTGTTAATAATCGCTGTGACAATTGTCACTCACTTCATATTTCATTTCTTTGCTTGATGAGTAAAATTAAGTGAGGCCCAACTAAATGTGTAAACTAATATTATTTTTTACTTTAAAAAACCACAATTAAAAAAAATACAGTGCTTTTACTGTAGGGTTATATGATCTCGTGTTTTAGAGACGTTTTACAAACATAAATTTCATGTGGACAACCCCCTTGATACGAAATAATTATCTGGGTCTCACAAATAGTTGTCCCGTGCGGTTATCGAACCACGAACCTCACCGAAGCCAATAGCTTGACAACTGCGCCACGGAGTCATTGGGGGAAAAACCATGACTTTGATACTTTTTGACTGTTGTCCGTCAATTAAAGTAAAGGGCCTAGTCCGTCCTAGTTGTCTTCCTTTAAAAATAACAGAGAATAATAGGAATTTAAGACGTACTTAAAGTTACCCACTCGGCCTTATAGTAATATTTTTTAATATAACATTGAAACATTAACAGGAAACAACATAATTAAACTGTTCCCGAGTGCTAATATTACGATTATCCAATAACTCGAAAGTCTCATTTAGGGGCGGAATGTGAAAAGAATTCGTTGAACTCAAATAACATGATCTTTACCTACAAGCTCGTGCTACGCAATTGCTTGAAGCTAACCCCTTACGACCTCGTTAAAGTTAACTTTACTCACTTTTATCACGAAACGCGTTTAAGGATTAAGTTAACTGTTAATGAAAGTTCAATTAGGAGACAACTGTAAGTGCTGAGCACCGCGATGTACATGTATATTGTTTTAGAGCTTTCTAGTTTATTGAAAAAAATGTTTATATAAAATGTAAAGGCTA